TTTTTTGCAGCAATTCCACTTTTTGTTTAATGGACTCCGAAAGATACTTTCGCTTTGTATATCCTTTACATATTAGTAAATATATATCGGAAATTCTATTTGAAATAATCGAAAGTTCAAGCTAACTTTTATAAAATTGCTCTAACAGTCTGCAAAAAATAATAAGCAGGATCCAATTCGAAGATTAAGGAACAACACAATCTGCAACATTAACTGAAATAGATAATTAGATAATTTTTAGCTTAGCTTATCCCGTCCGTTATACATTAAACTCGCATTCGTAAACGTATTTTGCGCACGCGCACACGCAAATTCACAGCCGTAAAGGTCTTATGCACATGCTCAAGGTGACGCATGCGCAGAAAGTTTGTAGCTTTGAGGTCCGGATTATGGGTGTCCGAATTAACGACTTTTGACTGTATACCCTTTCCAAGAATGAACATTTCCACGTATAAAATAAATAAAATATCCAAAAGCTTTTACCTCTAAATTATCTATTATATTATAAACGTCACCAACGAATTTATAAGCAAACATTAAAAATAGTTACAAATACTTAGTTTCAAATATTTAAATTATTTCCATACACGTTTGCTTCAACTGAAAACGTATACCAAATTCCTACAAACATAAAATTCACAAAATAACTATCATTTAATTAAAATATAACTAAACCATGTACACGTCGACTTATTTTTACATAAAAAAACATCCCAGAATTGCACAAAAATGGCATTGCGCACACTCTTCTCTATATCCATGTACACTGCTATTTTCTCATAAATTAAAAAAATTTGCACGAAAATGCAAAAAAATTCTGTGAATCTTTAAACTCGGTAAAAAGCACATATATGAAATTACCTGATCGCGAAAAAGTATATACCCTTTCCAAAGATGAACATTTCACCTATAAAATAAATAAAATATCCAAAAACTTTTACCTCTAAATTATCTATTATATTATAAATGTCACCAACGAATTCATACCACAAACATTACAAATGGTTACAAATACTTAGTACAGTCAAAAGTCGTTAATTCGGACACCCATAATCCGGAATTATCTATAATCCGGACCTCAAAACTACAAACTTTCTGCGTCGTGTTGACACATGCACGTAAGACCTTTACCGCTGCAAATTTGCGCGTGCGCAAAATACGTTTACGAATGCGCGTTTAATGTATAACGGACGGGATAAGCTAAGCTAAAATTATCTATTTCAGTTAATGTTGCAGATTGCGTTAAATCTTCGCATTGGATCCGGATTATTAGTTTTTGCAGACTGTTAGAGCAATTTTATAAAAGTTAGCTTGAACTTTCGATTATTTCAAATAGAATTTCCGATATATATTTACTAATATGTTAAGGATATACAAAGCGAAAGTATCTTTCGGAGTCCATTAAACAAAAAGTGGAATTGCTGCAAAAAAAATGGAAAAAGGCATATCCTTTGTTTATCTAAACTTTGTTTATCTTAAACGCCACAGGAGCGCAATGAATTGGAAGTTGATCTGTCAACATTATCCTTATCTTAAGGGCAGATTGTTTTTATTTTATTTGGCTTATAATTGCTTACTAATGTGGTATTTCCTCTCGATTTAGTCCGTCTTTTGATATGATTTTTAAATCAAATGCCTTGTCATTATAATTCGCTTCCGATAGCGAAGAAAGTGACAGAGGTTATTGAAAACGAAAAAATTTCGATTGACAAATTAGTCGGTATTCTCGACAGAACAGTTATAGGACTTGAACTTTGTAACTGAACAAGAAATTATGTCTGTTTATGGAATTAAAGAGAATGTATTATCACATAAAAAACGAAGCAACTTATAAACAACTTACATTGAAAGAAATGTTTAATAAAGTAAACAAATAAATATTAAGCTTTTTTTTTTTTTTTTTTTTTGTAAATTTTGATACTCTTTAGATCATAATTGTTCTTTATTTCGTAAATTACGGTTTCATATTTTTAATTTTATAATTTCTGCATGCCATTTTACCAGATTTAAACTGATGATCTATAATCCGGAATCGTCGAAGTCCCGATGAGTCCTGATTAACGACTTTATACTGTATCAAATATTTAAATTAGTTCCATGCACGTTTACTTCAACTGAAATGTATACCAAATTCCTACAAACATAAAATTCACAAAATAACTATCATTTAATTAAAATATCACTAAACCATGTACACGTCGACTTATTTTTACTTAAAATAAATCCCAGAATTGCACAAAAATGGCATTGCGCACACTCTTCACTATATCCATGTACACTGCTTTTTTCTCAAAAATTTGAAAAATTTCACGAGAATGCATGAAAATTTTTTGAATCTTTAAATCCGGTAAAAAGAACATATATGAAATTACCTGATTGCGAAAAAGATTTCCAAAGATGAACATTTCACCTATAAAATAAATAAAATATCCAAAAACTTTTACCTCTAAATTATCTATTATATTATAAACGTCACCAACGAATTCATACCGGTAAACGAACATTACAAATGGTTACAAATACTTAGTATCAAATATTTAAATTATTTCCATGCACGTTTACTTCCACTGAAATGTATACCAAATTCCTACAAACATATAATTCACAAAATAATTATCATTTAATTAAAATATAATTTAAATTCAAAAACCACTACTTAAAATATAAAAATCATTGCTAATAACAATTTCCAATAATACCCATATTATTTTATTTACTCCTTACATTTAGAACAATGCATAAAAATAATATCCTCAAATAATTAAAAATACTAACTTACTTAATCTTCTTCAGAATCTTGATTACGTGGCCGATAAACGTTTCTTATTTTCCTCTGCTAAATAAAAAGCAAGCGTATGTGCGCCTGTTTCAGGATCTTTAAAATCATACTTATAGTTCACAGCAAGGTACCAGGTAAAATAAATAACTTAATAAAACATCTTTACTTCTATCTCGCACAACCTTAACAAAAACATTTATTGCTACCCCTTTCAATCCCACTAAATACCCATTTTGAATTCACTTTAGTTAGGGCCATGGGATCCAAAAATTAACGAACACTGTTTCACACAACACAGAATTAACCTAAATACCAAATTTCCTGATTTTTTCCCGATTTCCCCCCTTTTCCGATTAAAGAACTGTAATTCGTCCATTAATGTCACATGACATATCTCATGATCTCTCATTTCCCTCACATAAAATAATGCCTAATCGGAACTGAGTACTTCTCACATTATAACCAAAGTCCTAGGTAGTAACCTTTATCGCCTCCAAAATGTCGACAAACTACCAGTTACCATATTCCAAAGATCAGCCGTTCTAGCATAAGCGTTATTCGGCTAGCAGATTATTGAAAAAAAATGTTGAGTAAAAAAAAAATGCCTTTACTTCGTGAAAAGAAAATGGCATCCAAAACAAAACTAGCAGGTTGATGTAAGCAGGGTTGATCGCCAAGTTACCATAATCCAAAGATCAACCACCTTTTTTAATCTTTCTAGTTTCAATGACACATTATGAATCAAATTATTAAATTGAAAAATTATTTTACAGCAGTATATAAATCACTCTTTTTTTTCAACAGTTGTTACTCAAATGGTCAAAAATACCCAGAAATTTTCAAAAATCTGAATTTATGTTACAATTTGATAAAAACTTCATTTAAAAGATTTTTTCTGCCGTATCCAGTGGTAAACATAGCAAAATTCTGAAATTTTTATTTAGTTCATTAAGCAAAAGCTATACACAAAAAATCATTTTACTATTAAATTTGAAAAAATCTAAATCAAATTTTAAAAGGAAAAAAAAATGCTCTGCCAAAATATATTGTCATTCAGAATGAAATATTTTCAAAATTTTAGCTCGATAGCTTATTAGAAAATAGTTTAAAAATAGATGGCAAAGTTTTAATCACAATAACAAACACCGAGAGCAATTTAATTAAAAGCTTATAAAAATGTTGCTACTTAAACAAAAACAAAAACAAATATATATATATATATTAGTAAGTACACCTAATTAATATTGTTTTGTCATTCTTGTTTATAAAGAGGGTTGAAAATTTGCTTCATAACTTTTGAACCTTTGAAAATTTCAAATCTCAACAATAGGTGCTTTTGGGGGACTTTTAAGTCTCATAAAAGAATATAATATTGTGCACCAGAATAAAATCACAAAAAAACAACTTGCAAAAAAATAAAAATGTATATAAACTTATGAAATGGAAAAAGTTTAAAATGATGTAGATTTCACTGCAAATAATTTGGCCACTGGGTATGAATTAAGACTCAATAAATATACATGAGCCATTGAATAAATGTTAGGAAGAATTTAATAAATTGAATAAATGTTAGGAATAGCAGTTTCATTAACACCAATCACCAACAAGTAAATGAATGTGACAATGGGAAATTTTTTTGAAGATGAAAATCCTTACAGAACAGAAATGAATTTGGAACAATTTCAGAAAATGTTCTGTGTGTTGAGGAGTTGGAAATACAAATTTGATTAATACAATTTAACAGGGCATTTTCCCCTGCGTTAAGAGAGAGATTACTGTGCACATATGGAAGTTCTATGCTTTCATTTATAACCAAATGCTTTAGTAGTCTGAATCTTAAATTTTCTATGAGTGCAAAGCCTCCACACAATATTACTCTTCGTATAAAACGATCAGAAGCAATAGTACATCGATTTTAAAATAATAATTTCAGAAGTATAAGTTTACTAAGTACACAGCCTCCCCCCCCCAAAAAAAAAGCGATACCTCTTAAAATTCCTGCGACCTTTTTCAACATTCAGACTTTCCTATTCATACATATATAATTGCTTCTTGAGTACTTTGCATCTGATGAAAGACGAAGCCCTTTTTTTCCAAGTCTGTGCAAAGGTTATGGTATTTCTCATCAAAAATTCAATTTATTCTATTTCATTTAGATTGACGTATTAAGTCAATAGCTTCTACTTTTAACTAACAGCAAATACTACACTAATAAACTTACCAAAATAATTTTTAATCTCATTTTCCTTAACAGACGATGGCGCGTAATCAGCAATTAATTTAGCTAAACCTTGAATACCCATGTTACTTCTTTCAACAAATTCGCGGGAAAATCAATGGGTAATACGGTTATGATTTTAAATTACGTAAAAATGGCTTACGCATAGCCCTCCATAGTTTGTAATTTCATGAAAATACATATGACTGTATATATATTGAAAATACTATATAAATATGTATAAGTATACTGAAATTATTTCATTAATATATAAAATATAATGTACATAAATGACATATAAAATACTATTGAAATATTATAATGCCTATAAGGCAAAGTTCTTCAGTTTTACTCAACTCGCGCAAAGCGATCCTTTGTTTGTTTCCATCCAATGGATTCCAGCTATGTTAATGTTGAAATACAAATTTCGCGTTTAGGCCGATGATTGTATTGTAAAAGATGAATTTTTCGCTTAGGTTTCCGAAACAATATAGTTCAAAAAATGTGCCTATTTTTCTTCTTAAGAGAATGACGGATGGGAGACATAACGTGTCTTCATTTCAGGTTTGTTTACGTTGAAAAGTTATAATTTTGTTGACAGCAGTATGAAATGTGTTTGGTGATATGCTAAATATAAAATATTAAATTTCTATGAATGTATTGTAACTACAATGAGGTGAATAAACTTCTATTTTATTAATTAACTGATCTCATTCATTGATGGAGCAGCACATGAAAGTAATTATTTAATTTTAGTAGGTTATCGTATGAAGACATGATTATTGTGAAATTACATTCTTCAGTTTGCCTAGGTATCTCGATAAATAAATACAAGTAAATATGTAGTATACGACAACAACATAATATCGATCTTTGAATGAATGTTTTTTTGTTACTCTGAAAAAGCTCCTTTTGTTATAAAATCTGGCAAATGTATGTTCTGAAACAAGACATTTCATAGTGACAAACATACCTTTGCGTGAGTATTTAAGAAAGTCGATGATATGAAAACTTTATGGAGTGGCTTCTATAACCAATGGGTCTTTCCTAATATAATTACTTTAAAAAGAGCTTAAAATAAGAAATCAGCACCTCCCTTTTCTTCAAATACCATTGTAATTTTATGTATTTTAAAACAGCATAATTTAATTGCAGATAATTATACAAAATATCATATTGTAAAATTTACGGAGAAATTCAAGAATTTTATCTTGGCTTATTTATTTTTTTCAGTTTTTGCCAAGAACAATTTACTTGGAGAGCTTCTTAATTTATAGCAACCTATTTTCCTTTTCTTTTTACCTTTGTAGACGCATGGAAAAAAGCTTTCATTCATTATTTCAAATAGTTTTAACAAAGTGTATATTATCATATCGCATTTCTGAGAAAAACTGTTGCATTTTGAGACAGATTGACACAAATCTCAAAATGTGAAAGTGTTTTTCAGAAAAAGCTTCATAGAAGACAACAGTGTTAAAACGCTAGAGTCAATGTAGAACTGTATCTAATTTTAAAATTCATACTAATGTGAATCCAAGGTTGAAATTGGCACAAATCTCTCTTTATGAAGTAAAAACATTCTAATTGTCATGTTTAGCAGAATATTTATGCCTTGTAAAAAGAAAGATCCATGCTAACCTCTCTCAAATTTTTTTAAAGCTTTCTAATTAAAAAAAAAACAATGTACAGAAAAAGAACACAAATGAAAATGAATGTGTTTGAAATTTAAATTAAGATCAAATTCAGCCCTGTGTAGTTTATTTTAAAGGAAAATGTTTTGCATTTAAAGGAAAGTAGGCATGGTATCCTTTTCTTTCATAAGTAAAAAAAGTTTTAGTCTTTTCTTCCTCAAAATATAATTTTTGTCTTTTAAACCAACTACAAGCCAGGTTTATATTATGCCTTGTGTGACTGACTGAATGGCACTAACATTTAGCTGGAATGTGATATGATTTCATGTATTTTTTTATGATTATCATCTTCTTCAGTATCTTATACCATTTGTTGCCATCCACTTTTCTCACATGTTGCTTATTTTTATCCAGAATGGGCATACTCACACAAATTACTATTCATAAAAATCAATGTTTATTCTTTCATGAGAATTCTTCTTCATGCTAATAAATAAAGATTCGCAATTTTTCACAATAAAAAAATAGTACAGTCACTGAGAACTTTAAACATGTCACAATATACAACTACTATATATCTTTACAATGAAAATATGAGACACGCTTAAAATCATTTACAATCAAGATATCCTAATGGCAACATGTTTTACAGAATATTATATTTATTTGCATAATTTCCCTCTAGAGTTTTAGCACAAATCTTCAAAAATTTTTAAAGTATTTGCACAAGTTTTCCTTTCTCAAGAGATTCAGAAAGCGAGATTCTGTAAAATTTAAAGTGGATTCATCCATGTAATGATTATTTATGTCTTATTAATTAATTTGGTCATAGAATTTGGATGCTCACTCTGGTTAATGATACAATAAAACAGTAATGTCTAATGTTCTCAATGGTTCTGAAGATCATTGCACGTGGAAAGACATACTAAATGGTAATGATGGCGACAACTTACAAGTTGTAGCCGATGGCACAGATAGCACTTCCAGCAGCATTAAATAATTTGATGCCTAGGGATTAGCAATGGACAACAATAAAAGCAGCAAAATTCGAGATATAGGGAAATAGAAACGAAAATAGCTTATTATATAGAATAATGTTCATATTACTGTGTGTTGTTAATGAAATGTAGGTTTCTTTTAAATGAATAATGTGATAGTTACCTATAGTTTATTCATGAGCATTTTTTTTTTTTTTTTTTTGTTGTTGTTGTTTTTTGTTTATATGCTTTCTGTCCTTTGGAAATTAATTATTCATGTAATTTAAATAAACATAATAATAAATATATTTAATTATTAACAATGAATTGGAAATTATAAATAAATTTGTAATTATATATAAATAAATATTACATAATAAGCAAAAGATTATATCAAAACTTTTTATGAATCACTAAAAACTGTCTCCTCTGATCCAATAGTGGGTCATGGCCTACATATTGAGAACCACTGTTGTAGGGTATCATATCTTCTCAGCAGTCCAGCTAGTGTATCGAAAAGGAAATAATCATCATATGGACAGTGTGACAGTTCATGTGGTAGATTGATCTGAAAAATGTAACTACAAGCTTGAACATCTCAGTCTTACACAATCACTTTATCTTAACATAATTCAGCTTCTCTGCTTTGTGCTAAAGTACATAAACAAATTATTCTTAACTCACCATCTGAATTCTCTTTTGCAAAGAAAATGACTGAAATTAGCCTTGAGTTATATATAGATTTGTATCTGTCATTTCTCCAAACATTGCTGCAATATTGCCTATTGGGAGGGCTATGCTATGTTAATGAAGTATTACATTTTAGAAGCATATGTTTCAATTTCATTGTCCACCATTGTATAACTAAAATGCTCCCTTAAATTCATACTTTCTGTAAATATGAATTTTTCATTTCAGCGAAATTCAGAACTTTTAATTAAACTGGTAATAGGCAAAAAAAAAAAAAAAAAAAAAAAAAAAAATCATAAATAGCTATAAATTGCTGAAATATTACAGCTCAATTTTTATGATAAAACTTGCTGAATGAAAAATATGTTTGAAATTATTTTTCTGAACTGGTAAAACTGTCTCAATCCCATCACTGATATATGCTTATCGTCAGCTGAGCAGTAAAGTCACTGAACACCCACCCCATCCTTGTTTGAATCTCAGTGAATGGGCTGGCTGTGCCTTTGGTTTTCATGGTTTTGCTTAAGTGTAACAAGGATACAAGCCAGTTTTCCTTGAAAAGTCCTCCACAAAGGCATTTTTTTTCTGTAGGCAGTTAGCCATCAAAATGCTTTGCTTCACTTTTTTTTTTTTTTTTTTTTTTTTTCAATTTGTATTTCGTATAGAATATGACTTTATAAGCAAAGGATTATTGATAAGTTGAAAATAATAATTAGAAAACTGTATTATTCATGAGTTTTGATGTAGTTTAATGATTGGGAGCATTTAAATGTACAACCAGTCTTAAATTAATTATTCGTTATTCTTGACTTGAAAACAACCGTTTACTGTCTTGGAATACAAGTTGAAATATTTTGGGAAAATTTAAACAAAAAAGTTTGGTTTAATATAAGTAGTCAAATTGTTATGATTACCAGAAGTTTATAGTGATAGAACATAAGTACCATAATAGTTAAAATAATTTTGAACTTAATTTATGTATTTGTTTGTTAAAGAAGACTACTTTTATTTATTTTAGACATTAGAGCTTATTGTGGAAAATAGTGCCATTCCTGAAAATGTTGAAGCTTTATTTTCTATTATTAAAAGACTAGATGATATCTTGCTGGATCATAATCCTTCTCTTTCAACAGCTCTTCATATATTTTCAGTAAGTCATGTTGACGATCTTTCTGTGAAAAGAATTCTTAATACTTTTATTTATTTATTTATTAGTATTTTTAAGTTTGTAAAATAATTATCAGCTGTCAGATTATCCTTCCCTGTCAATGAAATGATATTGAATTTAAAAGCAATTAAACATCCAAATGTCTATTAATTATTTTATAAATGGGAAGGGTAACCGAAAATAAATTATTTGTAATTCAATTCCAACAGAATACGATTCTAATGTTATCTGTATCATATTCTGTTGAAAATGGACTGTAAATGTTTAAGTAATAAATGGAAAAAATTCCGTATTAGTTTTAAAATATGTTATTGTTCTAATATAAAAGTGTAGATTGACTCAAAGCTGGCACCTGTACATCCACTGAGACATATTAGGTCTCGATGGAATTCCAATAGAGAACACCCCCAGGGGATAGCTCAAAGATCTCCCATCCCTGTTTTCGTAACACCAACTTCTTGAGAGGATTTCAGCTCACCGTGTATTTTGAATGTCGCACAGACACCATGCCTCCTCCAGGATTCATAGCCAGGCCCCTCGGTATGGCAGTTAACGATGCTTAACGAAGCCATCTGGGCTTCGGTACTACTATGCCATCTGGGCGGCATTCTAACATAATGGTAAAATGTGTACCCCGCCAGTGGCAAAGTGATTAAGGCCAGTAAATACTGAGAGTATGGTTTGAGTTCAATTCCAGGTGAACAGCCTAGTTGCATGGTTTCTTTTTTTCATATGTAATGTGAATAGGAGCCAGTTTCCGTTAGAAAGTCCTCCATGGAGGCTTCTTAGATAGATTGTCATTGTGTGTTTTGTCTTCTTCAAATAGCCTAACCTAATCTAGTGCTAAAATGTGTTACACCAATGATTATATCCAGAAAAGATAGGCCTAGAAACCTTCAAATTAGAAATTTTACTCTCTCAAACTATAATGTTTTCTCTTAATAATCATGTTTGATTATATTTTTGACAAGCAGTGCATCTTGAATGTATTATTAGGATTGTCGTTTTTACTTTGAAATTACTTAAAACATTATCAGTGACATCGAATTTTATTTCTTATTTGAAATCCTTAAAGGTCAACAATGTAATACTAAATAGGAAATTCTGGGTACTTTAACATTACACGTGTCCAAACAATACCATGGAATGAAAGCCCTGCTTAATATCACTTGTTGATGTAACTCTTATAAAATGCAAATTGATTGGAAGTTTTTTACTTTGATTTTTTGCTCTTTGATAAACTTTATTGGTTGTTATAACAACACATCACACATACTTTTCCATAAGTCTAGTAGTAAAAAAAAATACTACATCTAAGGGACCATACTGCAAATTATAAAGAAATCCAACCATAATAAGAAACAAGCATTTATTTTTCGATGATTACACCAGCATATAACATGGGACAACTGCATTGATGTCCTGTACCAGTGAATTAACTCAAAGGTGATGAGCGGCATAATTAACAGGCTTATATAGCTCATTAAAAATGTCATTACAAAACTGTGCTAGTAACAACTGTTGGATGCATAGGCAAGCATTTGTAGCAAATAATGTGTCCACCAGTTATGAGATTGTCAAGATCATTAACTTCACATAATCTCAGCTATGAAATAATCATTTATTCAAAATACTATGCAAGGGCATAAGAAATATACATCCACATCTTCTTTACGTACTGAAATTAGAAGATTATCTCGGGAAAAGATAATAAACTATATTTTTTTAGTTAAGGACATGGTGCAGGGTTTTTTTTATTTTTATTTTTTTATTTTATTAGAATACAGTTTTGAATTGTTGATGGAAATTGGCTGCTTAAAATTGCATATTTAAGTGACACTTTTACAAAGACCAGTGAGCATCTTATTAAAATTTAAAGGGTTTACTTCAGAGCAAACAAGCATATGCATTTACTGCTCACGGAAAATTCTTGTTTTCAAGAAAAAGAATTTTTGACAATTTGCAGGGGCTCCAGACTTTGATTCCTTTCCAACCATCATAAAAGGCTTTTCAGAAGAGAAAGAAATTGTAATAGGGAAGGCATTTATTGAAGAAATTATTCAGCACCTGAAAGATCTGAGTGAAGTTTTTAATCAGTATTTTCCAAATTAACAGCATATTAAATATCAAAAATGAATTGTGGATTAAAAACTCCATGCTATTGCCTATGCACAACCTTCATCCATGTCAGAAGAATGCAGAACTTTTATTTAAATGACATCTGATACATCATTGTAAGAAAAGTATAAATTAATTCTGTCAGTGGAATTCTGGTGCAGTTTAAAAGATGAATATCCTAACTTGTCCAAAAGGCCATTTGAACTGAAGGAAACTTCTGCCATTTGCAACTACATGAAATGAGTTTCTCAGCTGTATGTGTCGACTAAAAATAAATACCCCAATAGACTTGATGCCGAACATGACAGGAATTCTATTTTAATTCATAAAGCATAATATCAAGCATAACTGTAATAATAAAAAACAGTGTTGCTGATCTCATTAAAATTCAAATTAAAAGTCCTATTGAATGTATTATTTTAAGAATTTTTGGGTTAATTTTGAAATTACTTTTTGAAATAATTGTCATTTTTATTGCAAATAATCCATAAACAGAATGTTGCAATAGAAGCATACTGTTGCAGAAAACCAGGGGTTCCACAATAAAAGTGGTCATTGAAAAGATTTCCTCCTATCAAAAAGATTAAGAAACGCTTATCAGTACAACTCCATCTTGGTGGAGTTTCATTTTACATCAGTGTTGATAATTGCGGAACTACTCTGATATGCACCCTCAAGTCGCCAAATTTCTCACGCTGCCATATTACTATCTAAATTTTTTGTCTACATTTCGAACTTTAAGCCGTTTTGAACACACGATTTAAGCTAAAAATCCGAAACAAAAACAAAAAATTTAGATAGCAAAAACGTAGTTTCTAACCAAAAATATTTGACAAGAATCCATGTACACAGCAACATGTTTTAACTTAAAAAACTCCTACGAATGGCACACTGTAGGCAACGAACGAATCTACGAACTACGCACACCCGCTTTAATAATCTACACTAAAAACAAATCAAGAAAATAAACTAAAATAAATTTCAGACAATTCAAAAAACTCAATAAAAACAGAAATTCATACAAAAAAACAATGAATATAACATTCTACAAAATAAAAACAATAAAATAAGATGCACTTACCATAATGAAAGCTTCTTTTAAAAGCAGAAATATCTTTCCCCCCTATCTTCTCAGATACAGAGCATACAAAGTCCAAAATACATTCATTAATAAAATTTCGCCAGTCACACAACGTCTGTGAAGAAAACTTCCACGATTTTGCTATATCACATGCCTTCCTAAGATTCAAAATTTCGAAAGTAACAATAAACGTTAACTTGCTACACGAAAACCTCCAACGTTAACTTGCTACACGAAAACCAAGATCCAAACCTTAAACTCCGCTGACACCCACGTACTTTGTTAGCAACAATTTTACTGCAAACCCACACAAGTCTATCAGAAACACCATTTTTCATCCGAGTTCTCATATCAGCTCCGCATTTCGGACACGTCAAACTCTGTTTTAAAAGTCCCGATTCCCACAGAAATTCCAAAAATACACTACGATCCCCATAAATACATCCGTGAACAAAAGACTCGTTAACAACTCCAACATCGTACCTTTTCATACTAAATTTACTCTGCACACAATCTAAAATACGCGGCTGAAACCTTCCCACCACGTCTTTCATCGCAACATAGGCTATTTCAGAAACACACGCGACACGAACCAACTAGCAATTAAACTACTGCACCAAAAGATTTTTCCACGTCGACATGGTTGCCATACAACACGCAATCATGCCAAAAACCAGCGCAAAACACATATCGCCACATTTGGTGAAATTAGGGCATTTATCAGAGTTGTACCATAATTGCTTGTATATGTAAAGCTAAACTATTTGTAAGTACTTTCTGGCATAATTTTTTTAGTAGGTGATAAAAATTTATAATTCTTTCTTTTTATAGATTAATTTTTGCTTGTACATATTTTTTTTCCCCCCCAAGGAACTTAAGTGTGAAATATTGCAAACTGGGAGAAGAGAAGTGGAATCTGATAATAGTAGTCCATGTAAAGAAACAGCGAAATGGATCAGAAATATACTTTTTCAGCATGTTTTGGAGGTTCCCCATTTAATATTCTCTTTGCATTTTCTTTTATAATTACATAAATATTAGATATGTTATTGTAGAAAATTATCTGTGGTTAGTTTGATGTGCAGAACTTTTAATAAATTATTTTAAAAGTCAAGTTAAATGAGAGTATAAAACTTTAGTATAATATGTTTCAAAAATTAAATTAAATAAAAATATGAATATAATTTTTAATGTTTAAATTCAGTAATTGTAATTAAGAAATATGCTAGTATTTTAGTATAAAAATACAGTAGTACTCTAGTATAAAGTCTAGTGAATACATAAATTATTGAAACTATTATTAGTTGTGACTGTTGCCATCTTTTTTAATTGATTCTTCAGTTTCTCATTAATTGATAATTTCTGAATCTTCAGTTGCAAAATCAAACTTATATTTCAGTTGGTTTGAGAAGATGCTTCTGACTGCAGACAGCAAAAAATTTTGTCTGCAAAAGTTTTCTTAGAAATTGACCGTTTTCAAGCAACTGGGGAGATGACATTTCCTCCTTCCTTGAGTGATACTTTAATTGTGAAGCAGAAGTTTGGGGATAAATTCCCTTAAATGAAAACTTTTTGTCTGAGATTCTGTGAAAAGAGGAATAAACTCTTTTGATGAGATTGGTCTTCTGCATCTTTCTGTTAATTTTCAAAAATTCTTACTTTTGAGTTTATGGTTTGGCAAACTGTTCTTAGATCAGATTGCATCCCACTGTGCACAATTCTTTTGCTTTTGTTGAATTATTTATGTTGATCTGAGTAACCATATTTATAAATGATGTGATTGGTATGTTGTTCCCTGTGGCTTCTAAATGCAAAAGCTCATTGCTAAAGAGGAAAATGCTTAGATGCTTTAGAAAAAGATGAAACTATTTTACAAAAACTAGTGTCTTTTAGTTAAAAAACATGGATTGACAAATTATTTTAGAGCAAAAAGAAAAAAGAATGTTTCATATTGGGGGGGGCAGGCAACCAGTGAATATTAAAAGCAGCCAAGCTACTGAAAATATACATATTAATTAAATAGTGTCTGATCTGTTTCAAATATGATCAGAATATTTATGTGGTGCAGCCACATCAAGCAGCGAAATATGCTAGGCAGTGTGTTGCAAAACTTATAAGTGCAGACATCTAAACCACGTGGAAAAGCCCAACAGTGATCGTTGCAGATACTATACTACATTGTTAGCCTGACCTTTGGATTAAGGAATAATTCAAACATTTAAGATTATATACGAAAGATTACTGTTTTGTTATATTTTATCAAAGTTTTTATGTATTTGGATGGCTAGAAATTTAGTTTTAGTTACAGGATATTAGAAACTCTTAAAAATTTGAGCTAAAGCTATATGCCCAATTATTTTAGGAAGGAAAGATTTGACAAAATTAATTTAATAGACATCAGTGAGTATGATAGAATCAAATTCAGAGATAGATGGAACTTTTAATGGTGAAATTAATGCTGCAAAGGCTATTGGAATAAAAATAGACAAAGTAAGTAATGTGCTAAGCAAAGTCATAATGCATTACTTTGAGGCACATAAAATTTTATCTGAAACCATGAGGAAGCTTATTTTAAGCTAACATTTCATCCCAAAATGACTGAAAGATCAAAACCATAAAAATAAACAATTTTAATATAGATTAATTTTAATATTTTTTTAACAGTATATAACTGTCTTAGAGCATTTTCTTTCTTAAAGTTAGAAAGTTATTTTTCTTTTGATTTGTAATTTCTTTTATTTAGTCACATTTATTTGTTACATATAATTTATTCTTTAATATTGTTTATGTTATTGCATTTTTATTGAGCATTTTTTAAATTTGTGTTTAAGACAAATTCTTTTCCAAACATTATATTCTTATGAAGCAATTCTTGATAATGGACAAGTCTTGCCAGAATGTCTATTAATGAGAAGATTGACTATTCATAGTTTTTGATATTTATAGCAGCAATGCCACCAAAGATTTAAAAATGATTGAAGGAGTCTTTCAAAATAAAGATACTCATGTGCTGAAATAAATAAAAAAAAGTACCCCCCAAAAATGGATCTGCAATATTTTTCAAAAATTAATCTGTTTAGTGAAACACACACACAAAAAAAATGTAATTGCATTAGATTTGTGCAGAAAACAGCATTTAGTTTAAAAATCATAATGATATATAATTTTCTTAAACTTCTGAATTTCAATTCTAGGTCAATGATAAACAAAAAAATGGGACTTATGCCTTCAAATGGTGTCTAGCCACATATCGCAGTCTAGAGGCAAATTTTCAGAAAATTTGAAAGGAGAAAGTTAAATGAATGTTATTCTGTAAGCCACATTCTTATTAAACTTCTGGGTGCCTTCCATACTTTGTGTTCTAAATTTGTTGAAAAGACCCATAGAAAGATGGTGGCTTCTAATTTCATAGGAATTTTATTTGAGTAATGTAAACATGTTAAATGTCTAAACATAATAGACTTTAATGTTGCCTACTAGTGGCTGAGTGGATAAGAAAATGCTGGTAGTTTGACCTGGTTAAAATCCTGTTAAACAAGCTGCCTTCATAACTGCTGTAATGGTTTTCTCTTTGTGTAATGTGAATGTGATGTAGTTCTTAGAGGGTCCTTCACAAAGGCATCTCTCTCCTTTTAGATTGATAGTCTTAGTATGCTTTGTTGTAACTGCAACCCCTCCCCTCCCCCCCCCCAAAAAAATTAAGAATGAATTTTCTATCTTAGAACATTCAAAAAAATTATTTACTTTTGTACAGAAAAGCAAGGCTCTTAGACAAAGTATTATAAAAAATAGAGGTAGGATTTTTGATAATATTACTACTACCAAAATTAGAATTATAAAGTGTTATCAATCTTCTCTATTTGAATGATTCTGTCTGAAGTTTTCAGTGCTTTTGTAAAAGAGTAAGATAATGAATGTAATAGATTTCTTCCTAAAATCGTAATGAATAAATCTTCCTCTAAGGTTATTTTATATTTAAATGTAGGATGTGCTGATTTGTAACCAAATTCAATAGATTCAATGCAATTAAAATTTATTTGAATGAATTTTCCTTTGCATTAAATTTTTACAAATTGCCATGTATGAAATTGATGGCAAAATTAAAAGGCTGTTAAAATATATATGAGCTGGATAATGCCATTTAGTTTTTATAGGTATTGTTAATTATTTATTTTGAATCAGCTTCTTTGATATAATATGAGAAATAATCTTTTAGGTTTTGAGGCAATTTGTTATGTCATACACAGTCCTTCCATCGAAAACTGCACCGGCTTATGGTAAGTGCACGTTATAAATGGTTTATTAAAAAATCTGATGTTTACACCACATTACTTCCTTGTACAGAATATTAAATTATACACATTTTTTCTTACATTTCATTTAAACTTATTGGATTGAATTAAATGTACTTCACCGACAGCGCATAAACCACAATAGAATAAATGCATTCATTAAAATTCACTCTATCTGTTTACCACAACGACACTCTGGCACTAGGTTCACTTAACAGTATTATATTTCGTTCATATTATAACTCAGAATGCACAAAATTTATATCATTTAAAGAATTATCTAATCGTTGCTACATGTTCTATTCAAATACTAAAATAAAGCTAGAACGATGTATAAAAGAAATTAAGCAAACAAAACGAAAAAGAAACAGTTTTTCTCAGACGATTGAGTATTTCTCATTCAATTAATTCAGTTCTCACTTCGCGAGAAGGCAAAAATACATAAAAACTCAAAATATCTAGATGAAAAATTACGAAGTAAATCTTAAACACTTATTTCCTCGAAAAAATTCCAGAAAGGATTAAGCATGATTTAATTGGCAATAATAAATGAAGGCGTTTTCTTTGTTGTTGTTTCTTTGCGAAGCTAAGTTTCTCTAGATTGTCAACAAATCCACTATCCTGCTGTTTCAACTGTAAACAAGCAATGGCCACCATCAAAAAAATTATTAGGCTTAGCGGCACTTAAACAACTTTAAAATTGTTGATAATTCCAAAAATATTGCATACAGATTTACTAAAGGCATAAAAACCTTAACCGGAAGTTAAGAACAACATAATTCAATCATTTTTAAAGCAAAAAAAAGTACAATTTACAAACATATAAGAGTAAAGAAACTGAGATCACTGAGCCGGGTAACAGAGTGGATATATATATAAATATATTTATATATGTTTGGTTCGGCTGATTACAACCAAAATACTATGTGCACATCTACATGTTATAGCAGTCCTATATACAAAATTTCAACGTTCTGAGGCTACTCGTTTTTGAGTTATGCGAGATATATACGTATGTATATACGTTCGTACAGACGGCATGAAAAATTTTCTTCAGAATTCATTTTAAAGCAGTTTTTGGAGGAAAAGAGTCTTTTATTCTGTCCTTATGTACAGATATCATGCAAAAACATTGTTAAATTGCATTCGATAGCGGTCAAAATGGATATTTTCGTTGAAATATGCTGCCTGAAACTTTTCACGATTACAATACTTCCTTTTTACTTCGTACAAGGAAATAAAAAGGGCTGGGAGAAAAATATATGTATTTTAATACTGTTTAGATCATAACATGAGGAATGTTGCTTTGATTATAATCCAAGGCTCCGCAGTATTTTTAATTGGTTGGTTTATTAGATGATGCAAAACTTGTCCTCTACTAAACAACTATTCAGCTAAATTTTGCAAGTTTTACTAAAAGATAACGTCTCTATTGTAATCTTCCCCCCCCCAACTGTACATCCACCATTCAGTCAATGGGCAAGAGTGCTATGCACACTGATATGCAGATATAGATAAGCCTTTTTAAAATCTCTGCTAAGTTTTCTGAACACTAGCTAGATCATTCAAGAATTTTTGAAAAATTTTAACATAAAATCTGCTCTGTGGGGCATTTCAGAGTTATGGGAGCACATGCATACATTTAAAAAAATACTTAACATGATTTTTGGTTAACTACAATATTCATGGTGATGATGATAGATAAATTTGAAGATTTTTCTATTATCACAAGCAAAATCAGAATGTTCCTATTAATGAAATTTGTGAAGAAATCCAGAGAAGTAATAATAAATGAAGATGCTACAACAGAAGTTTTCCATTGCAATGACTGTTCCAGTCATCAATCAGCTAATGGATGGCAAAATCTATAGTATGGTTTTGAATCCAAAAAATATCACTTTCTCGATAATGAAGAAATTAATTAAAGATATTGAGAATGAAAAAATGTCAATAGGCAGTTTAGTGGGAATTAGCAGTGTGGCAGTTGCAAATCTTGAACAATGAACTTTGCAGCTGAAAAAAAAAATAAATAAAAATAAAAATTGTGTCTGTCTATAAAATTAAGCAGAAAGTATTGCACACAAAGTATTAATGTGCTGTTTTTGATCTTTGATATGGCAGGTGATTATAAGTATCAAATTTGCTAATAATGTGTTATGTAATTTATCACTTTTAGTTATTTATTTATTTTTTAGATGGCGGGACTAAAATTTATTGCTGTTTTAATCATTTCTTTTACTTGCTATTTAATCCCATGTTTCAATCTAAAAATAGCATTTAGGGATGCTATCTAAGTAATAAATAAATAACTAAAAGTAGTAGATCGTATGCTACACTATTACCCAAATTTTATTTGCAAATGAAATGAATTTTAAATAAACTTCATTTTGTGAAAAGGCGTCTAAATATTTTTCTGATATTTTGATTGCTTTAAAATAGTAGGTTTTAATAGTAGTTAATAATTTGACTAGTTTTCAAATATTATGAAAATTTCATGTTTAAAAAAGAAAATTTGTAATCCAAATTTTAAAATTCTAGATGATTTTAGCTGATGGTCATTTGTTGAAGAAATAAAAAAAAAAAAAAACTTATTGTAAATTAGATTTTCGCCAAGTGTTTCTCCCCCCCCCATGGCATGCCTATTTGAAAATTAGCATCAAGTTTTAAACATGAATAGCTTGCATGACTGTAACATTTATGCACAATTTGAGGTGAAGAATTAAACTGTGAAAAAAAACTGGCATATCATTTAAGTTACAGTTTGATGACATTAGAACAATGTTCATTAGAATTGATTCATTAGACAGAACATTGTTCTGACATTTAGATATAACAATGTTAAATGTAACACACATCCTAAGTCATGATTTGGATGTCATGAAAATGCAAAAATTTTTTGATAGAAAAATTAAAATGGGAAATATAAAAGTGTCTCCCACCCCCAAGTACATGGACCTTGACCTCAAAATGGTAATTTCATAAAAGTAGTGAAATGGTAATGAAAGGTAGTGAAGTATAAATAAAGATTTAGTTGTTGTCATCTGTAAGAGAGTAAAGAGACTATCAAATTATGAAAGTATATCCAAACTGTTGTTTTTGTTATGTTATTTATATTTTTAAGAATTGTAATTATTTTTAACACTCATTTAATTATTTTTGTGTATGTTATGCTATGTTAAAGTATTGAAGGAAGTGCACTTCAACTTAGCATTGAAATTTATTATAGGATAACTTTTATATTTTCTCATGTAATAGTATTAAAATGGCTCGTGTGTACTAAGTAATTTTTAAAATTTTTTAGTCATGTTTGTGTTTAATATGAATAATACTGTCGACTTATTTTTTGTATTTTCTCATTATACAGATCCTTTTTATTTTATTTTTGTAAATCATTAGTTTTGTAACATTTTAAAGTTTTATACTTTTCTGTTCTGTTCAAATTCTGAAGGGAAAAAAAGCTGCCTTTTTTAAATTGTGTATTTTTTAATGATGTTATAGAGAGCAGTAAAATATTGAGATTGAAAGGTATTGGCCTGGAAATATTTCATGCTATTTGTGTAGATGTAAGTATCTTTTCTGTTTTTTATTTTTTGGTATGTATTTACATATGTTTGTCTGTTCTCCACTCTACTCTGCAATACATTATAGCTCAGCACAGTACAATATACTATTTTAATATCATATTTGAAAATTTTATAGGCATTTATGTATAAACGGTATGTTTATACTCGCGTACCTCAGATGACTTAATTTAATATCTTATTTTCAGCTTTTCTAAATTTCCTATATGGGAACTTGCCTTTTTATATTCTGATATCATTTTTGGAATGGTTTTTTAATAAAACATTTCTGATTAAAATTATGCAGAAACACTATGGACTTTGCTGCTATTCTGTATTTAATTGAATTGACATTTCTATATTGTATTTCATTATCTGTATTAGTGGCTAAGTATAGGTATTGGTAAATGTAAGTAGGGGCAGGACACCAAAATTTCACCATTGATCGTACAGGTGTAGTCCTGCTGCACTAGCTATTAAACTTTGCCCCAAGTTTAAGAGAGAACACAACCTGGGGGACAGTCTGAGGTCTTCCACTACCTTAACTCTATCACCAAACCAGACTTTCTGCTCATTGTGTATTTAGAGTACCTCCATGCCACAAAGATATATACTTATATTTTATATATATCCATGCCATGAGATTTGAACCAAGCCCAATGATACAGCAGTTAGGAGCATTAATCATTATACCATTCAGAGTGGTTATGCACAATACAGGTAAAGGTAGAAGTGGAAGTGACACCAGAATTTTAACCACTGGTCCTGCAGGGTATAGTTTTGCCACACTAACTGTGCATTTCCACCCGAGGGAGAACACCTCAGAGAATGGTGCAAAGGTCTACTGGCTGGTTGGTATTATGCACAGTACAGTAGGACATCTTTTAAGATTCAAGAACTTTAGTGAAGCTGTTAGGAAAGAACTTGAATGAAATGAATTCTAGTGAAATTGGTGTTATCCTCAATAGGAAGTAGTTTTAATTATTTCCTTCAGCATTGCTTCTGGTAATTTAAAAATGTTCAAAAACATTTTTAAACTGATAAAAAAAAGTATTGCATTTGCCGATTTTTTTTTTTAATTTCAAATCAAAATTTAAAGATTTAGTTATTTTTAAGATGAATGAAAATTGTATTTGAAGATTTTTTTAAAGTGCTCGAACTTCAGTTTTATTCTAAAATGTTATATGTCTAATATGGATTACTTTTCATGTCATTGAACTAAATTATTATCTTTTTCATATTTTTTTCAAGTTTTAATAAATGTTTGAGGCTATATGTTGATAAAGTGCAGTGTATCATAAATTTCAAATTCCATCACAGTAATTTCCTTTGATTTATTTAAAGGATGCATGTATAATTCTTTTCATGCAGCATTTCTGAAAAGATCATGAATTACTATTAAGAATACTGTGTTAATACAGGTGATCAGCGAATAAGCCCTGATTTTAAAATTCAATATCTCTACAAGAAAGATCGATAGAATTATGCTGTGTTATGTAGAAGTGAGGGGGGCCACCTGATATTTACCCTAAGTAAAATCAGGTATTAGCCCCATACACTAGCTAGAAAACTAACATTCTGGCATCATTCCTTGAGTCGTGATGGAAATTGAGACTCCAGTGACAAGTACTGCCATTGGTGGCGGCATCAACGATGCTCCTAACCTTTCAGTGTTAAATTAGCTCAAGTAAAAGGGATTAAATTACATGATATACATTACAATATACATAGTTGTGCAGGTGCATATTTCAAGATGTTATTTATTGTAGTGGCTACAGGCAACATGTTTGGCGCTCTGCACTAAAAACTTTTTCTCTGAAAGGAGTCTAAAAAAAATAAAATGAAGCAGCCTTGCAATCAAAATACAATTTTTTCAAAATGTTCACCGTTTAAAACAATGAGGTGGCGTAAACGAACAATGAAATTTGACATCACGTCTTGCAATGTCTCAATGAAAATAGAATCACATGCAAGACCAATCAATGATTTAAGCTCAACTAGAGTAGTGGGATTGTTTCGATAGAAGATCTTTCAATGCGTCCCATAGAAAGAAGTCACAAGGACTCAGATTGAGAGAATATGGAGGCCAAGCTATTCTTTTGTCAGTAAACTGCATATAATCTAACGCAATTACTCTGTTCCCAAAGTATTCATGAAGAAAGTGAAGAACTTTATATGTTCGATGTGGTCGGGCCCCATCTTGCATGAACCAGTCGATCCTCCAACGCCAGTTGAATGCTGACAAATTGTTCCAAAATTGTAACGTAATGCTCAGTAGTTATCGTTTCTCGTACAAAAAAGGGTCCGATAATGCCTCTGGCGCATACCGCAGCCCATTCAATAACTTTAGGCAAATGCAATGCTTTCTCTTCACACAAATGAGGATTTTCGAAACCCCAAAATCTCCAGTTTTGTTTATTAATGATTCCATTCAAATGAAAATGTGCCTCATCTGAGAACCAGGTGCAGCTCACATCAAATCTGTCGTTGTCGATCATTGTTAGAATCTGATTCACAAAGTCAACCCTTTGTTTGATTTTGGATTTTGTATGGAAACAGCCGTAGGCTATTTCTCAATATTTTTTGCATGCTCATGTTCTTCAAACCTGTCTCTGATGCAATCCATCGGATGCTGTTCCTGGGATTTTGCTGAACTATTTCAGAAACTTTGGCTGCATTTTCAGGAGTGACTACAGTTTGCCTAGGCCCAACACTTCCCTTTCGATCACCAGTCATGCTGCCAGTCTGTTCGACTTTCACGAAGAACATGCGAATAATTTTCGCATCAGGTCAAACTGGAACATTGAATCAGTTTTGAAAACTGCAATGTTTTGCTGTAGGACTGTGTTCTAATTAGTAAAATTTCAGAATGAAAAAACACGTTGTTCATTGGAATACATTATGTCACTTTCTACGCTAGCCTCTTTTCACTAGCCAACAGTCGTACTGATCACTTTTGACTTTGAAGCACATTTTAAATAGATTGATTGATAGGTCATTGCGATTAGAGTGCCATCTTAACAATTTTGGTAACTAAACTTTTGTACACTATTTTTACAGTTTTGGTAATAAACATACAGTTTACCGCATAATTCTATCGATCTTTGTTGTAGAGATACTTAATTTTGAAATCAGGGCTTATTCGCTGATCACCCTGTATGAAGTAACAGTATTTTGTCTGTTCATTTGATTTTTAATAGTAGAATTAAAATTATGAGGTTTATTAAAAGTATTAAATTTTACTTACTTTAACAATATGTCTTTGTTATACTTCCTAGTATGAAAAGTTTGTCCCTTTGTATTCTGAACGAGAAAACTTCCTGCATTGCCTTTTTTCATACCTGCAGTACAAAGAAACATGTTTTCCTGCTTCTCGAGTACTTGAAAGTTTACTTCTGTCCAGGAAAAAAGTTCTTGATTTATCAGCAGTAGGTAAGTATTCACCTAATCCATTAATAAGGAAATGGGGGGAGGGATTTATATTTTATATAGTACATTTGTTTCAGCTCACAAATCTAAAATAGCTTGAGTTATCTAAAATAGTTTTGAGTTGAGGTTGCACATGGTGCTGTTTCATTTTAAAATATATTATTAAAAACAAAGTAATTTTTGCATGTAATAATTTTTGAGAGGATTTATAAGTTAGCATGAAATTTACTCTGAACTTTTCAGTTAACATCCTTGAATGAAGTTCTTAGAAATTGTTTTTGTGAAAAGGAAATTAAATAGCCATTTCATACTTTCTGTGAGAATATTTTATATATATAGGAGAACCTTTGTTAACCAGGCATCTATCAACTGAGGTCTTTGTGAACTGAGCCAGCAATCAAAATAAAGAAATAATTGGGAAATTTTACTAAGAATAGAAAGGTGGAACAAAAGTCAATAACATTGATGAATTTATCAGTGACTATCTTTCAACCTTCCTTATCAATTAACAGCCTTCCTTTAGGGCATTATTTTAAAAGTGAAAACAGCTCTAACTGACATGTTAGTAATAAATTAATTAATTCTTAGACATGTTTCAAAAGCTAAAAGGATTAAGGTTGGAAATCGACAAATGAAGAAAACAGTGACCAAATTTTGAAGATTTAAGCAATGAAGATATCAGCCACTGCACAATTCAGGAGAACAACAAAAATTTAATGTGGTGTTAAAGATATAAGTGAAAAAAAAATCCATGCTGAAATCTTGATTTAAGTTTTATTATTATTATTATTATTATTGCAAAGTGCACAAGAAGAGGGGATGCTTTCATGGAAGACATTTAAGGGAAATTGTCTTATGTGTACATTACACATGGGAAAAACCATGAAAGCTTCCATGCAGTCAGGATTTGAATCAGAGTTGATCAACCAGTATTTAGCAGTTTTACTGCTTAGCCTCTAATAAGCCTTAGCAAAACTGTTTAAAGCAATGTCCTGATACGTTTCCTGTAGATCTTTTGTTGATCATGTGGTAGCAGATAGTTACAGAATGATCACAAAAAAGGTTAACCTGCTTTCTCTCCCTCCTCTAAAAAAATTTTATTGCCTAAAAAGTGCATGTAAGAAATTTTTGAAATTTCCAATCTAGGTAAATTTTTGATACTGTTTTTATGAATATTTTTGTCCTGAAGTAAAATTTTTGTATGGATTATTTGTAAACTAATGGCAGCAAATTGTATCTGTACTGAAAGTACTTTTTTAAATGTTAATAATTGTACTTCTATACTTATTTTTAGAATTTCAAATAAACAGTTTCAGAAAGCTTTGTTGAAGGAAAATTTGGCATGATTTAAAATTTAGTCACTGCTAACTGAATGTTTGATTATCTGAGGTGATTGTAGTCTCAATTACCTCAGGTAATTCAAGTTCTGCTGTTGAGATAACTTACAGATTGTTGAAAAAGTAGAAATAGGGAATATATCAGATCTGGGATTTAACTTTTCATATCTATGAGTTATTTTCTTAGTATTGTCAGCTTTTCCCTTTCTTTTATTTCTGTTTGCTATTTGTGATAACTTTCAAATATTAAATTTAAAAAATTCTGTAAATTATTAAAATAGAAGTTAAAAAGTATGCCTAGTGAAAATTTTTTCTGAACTCTTATTGAATTCTATGATTTATCTGAATTTATTTGTTTTTAATACATATTCTCACAATAGTTCTAAAACTAAATGTATATGTACTATTTACTGTAACATGTAATAACTCATTCAGTGAGTAAGAAATAATTTATCTTACAGTTCTATACTTTTATAGGAATATTTAACATAAGCATTTTATTTTGAATTTAAGAAATTTCTGCAATATAAAATTAACATAAAGTAAAAATTGTTAATGTTTTATCTTAAAATTTTATTATTCAAGGTTGTGTGTGATTTTTATTTTCATTGCATAAAGTTTCATATGAGATACTTTATGTAACTAATTTCAAAATATCAGACTGTGATCATGGACTTCTTAAATGTACAAATGTTATACATGCAACTAATGGAATTCCTTTTTTATTGGCAGAAAACTTAAAAGAATTAGTAATCAATTTTGAAAATGTAACTCTGGGAGCCTTTTGTAAAATTCTTGCCATTACTTTGTCGGAATTAGATATGTATGAACACAGAACGTCATGTAAGTTTAATTTATTTCCACATTTAAATAAACATAAAAGTTGTTAAAATGTATATTTTGTTTTACAATAGTATTTAATATATATATATGTTACTTAATTTTTAACTTTTATGTTATTTATTACATGTAAAAAAATATGTATTTATTTATGTTTGCAGTATACGCTCAAACAAAAGAAAAGAAAAATGAAAACATTCAAGCTCGTGATTTAAATCAAGGTAATAATTAACTTCTTTTTAAATTACTGTGGGGGTTTGAATTCAATCCTGTAATCTTGTGATATTAGAAAAATGATACAGTCAAAAGTCTTTAATCCGGTTTCGTCGGGACTTCGGCGATTCCGGATTATTGGTTCTTCCTGATTATAAATCATCAGTTTAAATCTGGTAAAATGGCATGCAGAAATTATAAAATTAAAAATATGAAACCGTAATTTATGAAATAAGGAGCAATTATGATTTAAAGGGTATCAAAATTTACAAAAAAAAAAAAAAAGCTTTATATTTATTTGTTTACTTTATTAAACATTTCTTTCAACGCAGAAAGAATTAGTAAAACAAAAATTAATTTCGACTATGTGTAAAGCATACATTACGCATAGTCGAAATTAGAAAATTGCAACCAGAAAACTATTTGATGTGTACTCGTGATATTTATAATGACGAGTAATTTTATTTAAATCATATTAAAGACAGAGTACATCGAGATGAAATACTACATTTAGTAAGGAATTATAAGCCGAATAAAATAAAAACATCTGCCCTGAAGATAAGGATAGTGCTGGCAGATCAACTTCCAGTTCATTGCGTGCCACGTCCCCCCCCCACAGAGCAGCATGAAATTGATAAACATATTTCGGAATGATTAGAGAATCAAAGGATATGCCTTTATCCATTTATTGCAGCAATTCCACTTTTTGTTTGATGGACATCGAAACATGCTTTCCCTTTGTAGATCCCTTGTTAGCTCCAGAATCGAAAATTCTTTTTGACATAATCGAAAGTTCAAGCTTACTTTTATAAATTTGCTGTAACAGTCTGCAAAAAATAATAAGCCAGATCCAATTCGAAGATTTAGGAACAATGCAATCTGCAACATTAACTGAAATAGATAATTAGGTAATTTTAGCTTAGCTTATACTGTCCGTTATACACCAAACGCACATGCGTAAACGTATTATGCGCATGCATAGATGCATATGCACACGTGTAAAGGTATTATGCGCATGCATTGTTACACCAAACGCGCATGCGTAAACGTATTATGCGCATGCGTAGACGCATATGCACACGTGTAAAGGTATTATGCGCATGCATTGATGCATGTGCAGAAAGTTTGCAGCTTTGAGGTCCGGATTAAAGACTTTTGACTGCACTATCTGATTGTCCAACCAACCTTCCTATAAAGTTGCTAATCAGTGGTGACTAATTTTTTGCCAGCCTAATGTGAAAAACAGTAGCCATTTTGTAAAGTAGCAGTGCACTGAAAATTACATATAACAGCAGCAAATTAATGAAATTAAAATTGCATGAAGCATTCATAATGAAATGCATAAAACAAGCATCCATAATGAAATGCTCAAAATTACTTAAAGCAACAACGAATTAACAAAATTAAAAAGACAACAAATATTCATAATAAAATGCTTAACTTTCTTTTTTTCTTCTTCTGGACTTGTGCACAGCAATTTGTTTTATTTCAGAAAAAAAAAAAAAAAAAAAGAGAGAGAGAATTGCAGAGCAATTTGGCACTGCTTTCCATGTACACATCAACATGTTTTAACTATATTAAAATAAAAAAATATAAAAAGGAGAATTTCACAAATTAACTTCATGGAATGCACATTCCTACTCTTTCTACAAAAACACATTCCTACTTTTCTACTCTAGGCAAAATGCCATATTTCTGAAAAACGTGCAATACTTAATAGCTGGCAAACTCCACAATGGCAATACAATTCACTACAAGAGGGAGGAGAACTTTGTACGCTAATCACGACAAGCAGAAACCATGCACATGCTCCTCGAATTTTAAAACTGTGTGCACTACTGTGACGTAATGCAAGCATAACCATTAGTGGGTTACGTATCAGCAGAGGAAGTTAGAAATACACTGAAAAGCATACTTTGCCTTTTCGCAGAAATAAGAACACAGAAATATGAAGGAAAACAGCAACTAATATTTATTTCACTCTTAAAATTGACTAGGCTGCAGAAGCAGCCTTTTACATAAAAACTAAAGCAAAAAATGAAAGCTAGTGGTTTATTGACTGATTTCGTAGTTTATGCACTCATAATAGCACATCATCAGCCAGTCAGCAGTAACCATGTAAATTAACCACTGACTGGCTTCTGTCTGAAAAAAAATTGCATAAAGAAAAGCCAACAATGCCTCCCTTTTTTCATGCATTTGTAATTGTATCTTTATAAATTAAAGTCAAAATTTCAGTATAAAATTTCACATTTCATTTCTATAACATGGACACAATGCTTATTCTTGAATATTGTAAACACTTATACAAAATTTTCAAATCCATAGCGGTTATTGCTTTAGTAAAAAGCACATTATTTAATTTGCTGGACATAAGGTCAAACATGCCATCACTCGCCAGTCTTTTAATAAAGTGATATCATACATCAACATACTTAGTCGGACTATTTTCTGTTAGTGATCTAAGGAAAATCAATAGGAGATTTGTTATCACAAAACAGTTCACACTTTTTCAAATTGGACTTTAAAATTTCATCTTTTATGACATTTTTCATCCGTATCAACTCTTTTGCTACTTTCTGTGTAAACTTACAAATATGAATCCACCTATGGATACATGGTCATTCCTATTATTTGTATAATCAGTGCCTGAATTGCAGTATAAATTTATATGTTTAATCCTTGATAAGTTTAATTCATATGATTTAGTACTATTGAGATAATCAAACAATTTTAGCAGTGCTTCTCAATGTCTAATTCCAGGATTTTCCTGAAACTCTTATAGAGTCTTCTTGTAATATTTGGGAGTGTACACTCTTAAACCCTATGTCAAAGACTAAGTAGTTATGTCTTTCAGAATAAACACTGCAGATGAAGGGTTTTAAATAACCATTTTATTTAAATTTAAACAGATGCGTGCACTTCATGCTCACAAATCACTACCACTTGTGGCTATGCAACAAAAAATAAGAATGTAACAATTCAATAGTAAATTAAGATAATTTAATGACTGGCTTCCTAGCTTAACTAACACTAAATCGACTGCACACAGCAAAGCCGAGCCAAGAAATATCAGTATAAACTGACTGGTTTCGAACACTGAACAAGAGAGCTAATTTTAAACTCGCAGCATAAACATCAGAACTAAGTCTGCCACTACGCTTTGAACTCTTGAAACACAGCTTAAATACTGCTTCTGAAACACATTTAAAACTTACATCTATGTCTTGCAAAATTTACATTCCGGCAGGAAACTGAAATTAGGAGAAACCGGAAAGTCAAACTAAAAATAACTGGTTAGAATAAAGTAAAACCTTACATTGTGATAAAATATTTACCACATATATGATTCAAGCCTAGTTCTATTAGCTACAAAACTCAATATTCCAATAGATTTCTAAAAGGTACTTCGCTCATTCCATCAATTTTTGCACTAGTAGATGAACAATCTGATTTTGTAAGCATAATCCCTTTGGGAAGTGAAGTTATTGGTATCTGGAGAGGTTTTAGAATATTAATTACTTTTTTTTTTGTTTAAATTTTTCAAAAATATCTTCAATGTATGTTTGCTGATGTATAAAACTCCCATTTTTGTTTTATAAGAATTCAGTTCTGAGTTACTTTGTAGTTTTGCCTAACACTTTAAATATTAAAAAAACTTACTCAAATGAGATTTCTTTACCTATATGGTGTTAATCTATATTAAAAATTACAATATCATCTACATATAATAAGAAAAATATATTAGTGCTAGATTAAATATAAAATGTAGTGAAATTTGTCCTTTGGTATGAAGAACCCTTCTGTTGCTTCTTTGTATATATGTGAACATTTAGTTTTTATTTTGTGTATTGCATGATTTTGAAATAATCATTATACACAGTCTAGTCATATTAATGTGACCACCTGCCAAAAGCCAGAATAACCACCTTTCGCAGAGCGGAGCACTGTGAGATGTGCAGGAAGAGAATCAGGTTCTGGGATGTTGAGCCCTGCCAACTCTAGTACCAGTTGCACTAGGTTTCGCAGTTGAGGATCCATGGCACGAACAAACCGATTACAGATTCTCGATTGGGTTTAAGTCTGGAGAGTTTTCTCGCTAGAGGAGTATGGTAAACTCATCCTTGTGCTCTCCGAACCACGCACGTATACTGCAAGCTGTATGACACTTCGCATTGTCCTGCTGGTAGATACCATCTTTCGCATGTAGAGGTGGACATGGTCTGCATGGACAGATGCATATTTCTGTTGATCCACCGTGCCTTCCACAATGATGAGTGCACCCAGAGAATGCCGCAAAAACATGCCCCAGACCATAATGCACCTTCCTCCAGCTTGGACCCTTTTGGCAGTTGTTGCAGGGTGTTTGCTTTCTGATGTTTCATGCCGTATACGCCAATGTCCATCTGTCCAATGGAGCATAAAATGTGATTTGCCAAAAAAAGACACCTGTCGCTACTCAGTGGATGTTCAGTTGCGGTTCTGGTGTGCAAATTCCAGCCTCCGTCGCCAATGAACTGCAGTCAGCATAAGTGCTTTAACCAGGCCTCTGCTGTGGAGGCCCACACGCGGCAATATTCCATTCACCATCATTGAGGAGACACCGTTGGTAGCCCTTTGGTTTATCTGGATGGTTAGTTGCACGTCTGTTCTCCCGAATGCATCTTCATAGCTGTCATTTACCTCTGTCAACTATGGCCTGTGGTGCATATTTGCCATGTCACTGATTTTGGATAATGACATTTTGCCATGCACAATATACTTTTACCATGGCAGCACGTGAACAGTTTACAAAATTGGCAGTTTCGGAAATACTTCCACTGTTGTTCTGAAAGCCAATGATCATGACTGTTTGACGCCATAAAACGTGATTCATCAGAAAAAGCCACCTGTTGCCACTCAGTGGATGTCTAGTTGCTGTACTAGTGTGTGAATTCTAACCTTAGTTGTTGATGAACTGCAGTCAGCATAGGTGCTTTAACCAGGCCTGTGCTGCGGAGGCCCATACGCGACAACATCCGCTCAACCATCGATGAGGAGACGCCGTTGGTAGCCACTTGGTTCATCTGGGTAGTCAGTTGCTCAACGGTTGCATGTCTATTCGCCCGAACACCTCTGCAGTCATCATTTACCTCTGTCATCTATGGTGCGTGGTGCATCACATTTGCCACGTTGTTGATTTTGAATAGTGCCATTTAGCCATGCTCAGTATACTTTTACCATGGTGGCACACAAACAGTTTACAAAAACAGTTTACAAAATGAGCAGTTTCGGGAATGCTTCCACCCCTGGCCCGAAAGTCAATGATCATGCCTGTTTAGATGTCAGATAAATCGCACCGTTTCTACATTATGCCAACGATTGCAATGTTTTTTTAATTCTCTCAGATGTCCTTTATATATGCTGCACTGAAATGTGCTGCCACCTTGCCTTCTGTGATTTGTTATTTCACTTTGACATCAAAACTAGGTGATGGTCACATTAATGTGGCTGGACTATGTATCGTTATTGCATGTATATAAATATGTTTTTTCATATTTTAGTTAAATACTTTTTCCTCTTGCAGATGTTGTTTTAGGTATTCCAAATATTCTATCAAGGCTTGTTAAGATAGCTTGTGCAAAACCATGTAAGTATTTTGTCATGTGTGATGAAAAAAAGATCACTTAAAATCTCGGAACAGGTTTGAGCATATCTACAAAAATGGGAGAAGGTTGATTTTCAAGCTGAGAGCCAAATTAAGAAAAACCAAACAAAAAATAAATACATAACAAAGTTTTAAAATATGATTGATTAGAATTTTTTTTAAGCTAAAACTCCATATTTAGAATTCCAGTTCACATAAAGAATTTCATTTTGTTGACATTAGATAAATTGATATCAAAGTAAAAATTTAATTGATCGTTTTTGAAAAATGTTAAAATTTTTCTACTGTATTTAATCAACTTATGTAGCAAAATATTTTGAATTTGACACAGGGTTTGTACGGTTCTTAACAGTCCTTAAAAGTCCTTAAATTTTTTGGCATTGATTTTTGGTACTTAAAAGTCCTTAATTTTGGCCAAAATCAGTAGAAGGTCCTTAATTTTAATCATCTGAAATTTCTGTCTGTTTTTACGACTGCCATTTTGAGTGTGAATTAGCATTTTGGAGTAATATTTTTGGCGATTCACTGATGTATATGGTGATCTTTTGAATGGGTTAGTGTATTATAATTTGTTTCTATTTCTAATATAAATGATGGATACTCGAGTTTTTAATCAAGGAGTGAAATAAAAGCATTTTGAAATTCATTTCTTGTGTACTAAGTGTGATAAAGAGCTTTTAAACAGTTTTCACTTTTTGGAATGTGAATTCTTTTATTAAACGGTTCTAAATTTGGCGACTTGTCAAAATTTTGGCAATTTTAAGATCAGTTTCTATGGAAAAATTTTAATTCCGAAATCTGAGAATTTTTCGACGATTTTTTTTTAAACATCATAATTTTGACAAATTTCATTAAAATAATGATAATATATTGGAATTATATTTAAAAAATAACATTAAAATAAAACATTTTTATTTTTCGCTGTCGTATTATAAAGTTCCATTTGGCAACTTATTATACAATATTTTGAATCTGAAAAATAAACAAGGTATAAGGCTGTAGAGCATAATTTACGAACAGCTCTTAGCAAAAGCAAAATTAGCTATGCAAATAATTAAAAATACCTTTTTAATTTTTCATAGTAAGTGTTTTTCCCATGTAATTGTCTCAAAATTCTCAGAGAATATGCATCAGTTTTTCTCGATAATATTAATTTTACACTTTTCCCTCCTTTTTTTTCCGAAATATTTCTGGCTTTTTGCTGTTACAGATTTGGTTGGGATAATTTTTCTTTAGTATTTATGGCATTGCAGCTTGGAAAATTTAGAAGGATTTGAAGGCAAGATTTATAGACCCACGATTCTAGAAAATTTGAGAAATATGTGACAAAATGAAAAATGTCTCCATGCTATCAGCGCGTAATGGATGTACTTTACAGAAAGTTTGCGATGAATTTCTTACTTTTTGGAGAAGGTCTGGAAGAACAATGAAGACATAATATTTGAATGTTTTACTCCTGATACTAGAATCTTTTTCTTAACATGTTTATCTTCCATTTATATTCTCTACTTTTCACTATACACAAGCATGGAAAATATCAAAAATGCTTCTAATCATCACTTGAGCAGGCATTATAGAAAGGGATTTTTTTTTATTAATAAAGAAATTGAAAACTTACAATTTAAAAGATCCATCTAATATGTCTTAATGCATCATACACAGAGGCATTTTCCCATCTGATGAAATCTCTGTGGATCCTAAATTTGACTGCATAGTGCCTATCTAAATTCTGCTTGCAGTGCCTGTCTAAATTCTAAACATTTTGGCATTTCTAGATTTTGTTGTTTGGTGTGTCACTAAATTCTAAAAATTCTGCCACACCAGCTCTGTAACCGGCCTTTACTATATATATATTTCATATTTCTTTTGAATTCCGTATTACTGAAGAAATTAAATTAGTCACTTTTTCTATACATTCTAAATGCATTTAGTGTTTTTTTAGAAAAACAGAAATCCTTAATTAAAACTAGAAATTCTAAAATGAAAGGAAACGTGCTGAAGAAAGAAACTGAATACATAAAGAAAATTATTCTTCAAAGATATGTGCAGTTATTATTATGTAAATTATCCAATTGTTTATGACTTCAGCCTTTACTTTAATTTTCCATTTCTGTTTCCTCATATCATAGAGTTACTGAGCCAGATTAAATTTATTTATTAAAATAATTTCAAGTTAATGGTTGACATTTTATATCCAGTGAGTTCTCTTTCCCAACTGGCAGTTAATTAAAAGTCTTTTTATGTTAAAATGTTAATTAAAAATCAGTTAATTAAACAGGCAGTTTATTAAGAATCTTTTTATGTCAAAGATATGTGCAGTTACAGTAGAATTCCAGAAATCCGCAAAGCTTGGGACCAGAGGTTGTGCAGATTTTAGGATTTTGCAGATTTCAGGACAGAAAAGATAAAGTATAATATTCGGACTAAAAGTGCAAAATGAATAAGGCGTATTAGATACATTTAATTAAATTATTATATACATTATTGCAATAATTTATTATATGCATTAAAATATTATTATATATATAAATTGATTATATTATTCATTGTATTATATGTACACAGCATCGAGGTTTGCTGATTTCACCTCATGCAAAGATTTCCGGTTTCGGATTCCGGTGTTAGAATAACTGTTGCTGTAAAATTTCAACAGCTTTTCTTTATTTTCTGTATATCATACACAATCGTGTCCCAATACCATACCATTCTGCTATAAATCAAGAGTAGCACCTGCTTCCATCTTTTGCAGAATTTGCACTTTTTGCGTTACTGTCAATGCAACATGTTTACCTTTTTCAACTTTGCAAGCAGTAAAATCACGAGTGCCTTTCTAATCTGTTTTCTTATCTTATTAAAAAGGGCTGAAATTAAAAATATTCATAATTTATTCACAAAATATCCGGATAAAGAAAAAGGCAGCACTAAACAATCTCGTGACATGAAATAATAAAGCTCAGAAAATACAACAATGTGAATCTTGAGCTTGAACAAAGAGTTGACAGTGAATCATCTGCTTTTTTACCTTGATGCAGATTAGAGGGGGAAAAAACTTATCTTATTTATTTTAATAATTTGGTTTTTCTGTTTTGACTCATTATTATTCGGGTCATTATTCGGTTAGTATTTTTTTCTTCTATATTTCGTACTCAATGTTGTGGTTTCCGGAACCTATAAACTGAATGTTTATATTCTGAGAGACAACGCGGATTTGAGGTATTTGACTGTATTATTATGTAAATTACCCAATTGTTTATGATTTCAGCCTTTACTATAATTTTTGTTCTAAGTTCTTTTTAAATAAAAGGCTTATTTAAACCTTTGTCTGATATTGTAGTTACTTTCAGACATAGTGATAATTTGCTTCACGTCTGTTGGGGGTTTTGGACTATTTAACTTTTACCAGATCAAGTAAACCCTCATAGGTACATTGTGGAGAAGTTTACAAGTTAGGAGATAAAGCATGCAGAAACTAGCGAGAGCATTGGTTTGCATATTGAGACAAATCTCTAATTATTGTTAGGAAAGATGCTTAAAGAGAAGGAAATCGATATAAACTAGCCAAAATGTTTGGTAAGGCTTCAAATTAAAATGACAGATAAATATTTTGTTTAGTGTTGTTGTTACAAAACATAAATGTTTTGTGTAATTATTCTAATATCCTTTGTGTAATTATTCTAATATCCTTTAAGAATCAGTGTCATCAAATGCATGTATTTTAAACTGTGAAATTTTATTAGATTTAGATTTTAATAGGGTTAAAAAATAAATGTAAATGTAAATGTCATGTAAATCCATAATGACTAAGGTTACCTATTCACCTAATTTAATTATTTATAACTAACTGCTTACCCTTAAAAATTATCTCTACATATTAAAGCGAGTTACTGCCTTTCATTAATACTCAATGTAGTCACAAGATAAAACACAAAAATGTAGAAATTCAAGTAAAACATATTCTTTGCATCTAGTGAGACTTAAAATAATACAAAACAACTTATCACCTCTGGCTTATTGGAACTTGAAAGTATATTAACTGGGTTGCAACCCCTGGAACTCTACACAAAACTATGACACTAACTGCATCAAACAGAGCCTGACAAACTTTCAACACTTGCCAAATGTGCCTACATCAGGCCTTTCATGTTTGTTTGAATCAGCAGCGGTGATAACATTCAGTCTTTTGTTATGAATGATGTTGATTATGATCTTATTTCTCATTTTAACCTATGCCGTTTGACATAAAATCTACCTGCTATTTACTAAACCTCTAGACCAGCGATTCTCAACCTTTTGACTAACGTGTACCATCTAAACAAAAACTGAAAACCTTTAGCACCACCACCACTCTTGAAAGAAGCTCAGATTGCATAAATTTACGAGTGTTAGAGAAAAACTCAATCAGCATGTTGGGGTTTTAATTTTTGAAATAAATAGTTAAAAATATTTTGCTTTTTTGTGTACCACCTATTTTCTTCTTGCCTACCACCAGTAGTACACATACCACCGGTTCAGAATCTCTCCTCTAGACTGACCAAGTATGTGACAAAATGAGACATTAAAAAAAATCAACATAAAGCTAACTATTAGTAAAATGTAAATGTCACTTATCTTCTTTCAAATATGTCCTACCTATCATAAGTGTAAAATATTTAATGCTACTTGATAAACTGCATGAAGTTTATTTTATTCTCAAACTTATTAATAATTATGTTAATTAATTCATGTTTAGTAATAATGCATACTACTTAGGAATCTATTTTATTTTTAGGATGATATTACAAAAGTGAAATTCAGGCATAGAATAATATTTTTAATTGAAATTATTCAATTCCCATTTGCTTATAGGTCCTTAATTTTTTTCATTAATGGTCCTTAAAAGTACTTAATTTCCGTGTGCAGAAATGTGTACGAACCCTGTGACAGGTCTGAGATCTTTTATCACCAGTATTAAGAAGCATATTTATTGTGTATTTGTTAATTTCTAATCTATAACACTTTCTGTTTTTTCTTTGATAACAGTAAATTCTTATATGCTTTTATATATTCATATTGTGTTAAACAAGGCTAAATTTTAAAACTTGATAATTTAAAAAATAAATGACTAATCTATACTCTTTTGAGTAAAAGTTCAATCACTGAAGATACTTATTTTTCCTCTTTTAAAAATTGCATTTATGAAATATATTTTTAACTTAAATCTTAAGTGGTGATGGTGGATATTTAACAGCCATAATTTATTTGAGTACATATCCAAACAACTTTGGAAATTAATATTAACATTAAAAATGCTAAATGCATTTCAAAAGAAAGTTGTTCCATCTTCTGCTACAAAAATTTATTTTCTTCTAAAAGCTGTCTTTTTTAAATTGAAAAAATAAAATGTATCAAGAATTCTGTTCAATTTTAGTCCTAATTGTATTTTCTGATCTAATATAGTATATAATTTTTAGTAATTTCCTTGAAATAGTATTTTAAAATGGTGTATAAATGATTGTTAGTAATGACAGTGAAAAAAGTAATAGATTCTTCCTAACACACTATCAAAACTCATTTCAGAAGCTCTCTGTGTAAGCATCTTTAATACCATTTATTCATTTGAAACTTTATTTCTCCTCCTCCCAGATGTGCCATGGTTTCCCTGTGGAAACATAGAAAGTGAACAATGGCTGCAGTGGATTGATGACCAGCTGGTGCAAGATTCAGAAAATGAAGATGAGGATATTGATTTGTTTATTGGAGGTTAAGAATCTTATAATAAACTAATAGAATGCCCCCCTTTTTTTATTTTTGCCAAGTTACTAAATATGTTTAATTACTAGTAATTCACCTTTGGATATATTCCTAGTGGATGAATCTTGTGTGGTTGAAGATGTTATTGTTTTCCTTAATATGTATAGTAAATGTCTGTGAATTTCCTTAGAAAGTCCTTCTTAGGCATCTTTCCTTGTAGCCAGATAACCTCAGTGCATTTTGCTTTCATTAAGCAATCTAAAATTCATAACATCAACAGTCTAAATAGGAATGTATTGTACAAACAAAGATATTCTACTGAATTTAATCATTAATTTAATATTTAGAGGATCTTTTGTTTTGTATTCAAAATATTTTTTAGCATTTTTAGCCTTTTATTTTGTTTTTATATTACATTTATAAAATATCTAATCATTCATTCAGAGTTGTATTTGTTTTAACAAGAAAAATTATTTTCATTGTGATAATATGCGCCCGGGATTCTAATATTGGAAGAAATTTCCCTTAAGGGAGAATTTTACAGTTTAGAGGGTTAGTTACTTAACCTCCTGCACTGGCATACTTGAATTGTAGCAAAAAGTCTTCTGAGAAAGCTGAAAATCACTTAAGACTCAAAAAATTAAAATAGGCATCATGTAAATTTACCAAAAGCATTTTCTTTTTTTATTTATTAAATATAATAATAATTTATAATTTGTGTATTAAGGAATATATAAATAAAATATATCTGTAAATTAAGCTAAACTTTTTATTTTTGTGATTTACAAAGATAAAGTACTTTACATTTTACACAGACCCTTCTTGTAAGTTTATGAGCATATGTTGCCAGATTTAGAAATAAATAATTGTGCTCATATTATTTGGTAATTATTATGCATGTCATACTAATCAAACTTGAAATAAGTGATGACAGAATTCATATCTCTAAAGTGTAGGGGTAAATTATACAGTAATTTGTTTTTATTTAATCTCTTGATCTATGATATAATTCCTTTGGAAAGTAAGTATTTAATTGAAAACTTTTGTTTAATGCATTTTAGAATACTGCAGATAAGGCATTTATGGGCTGTAGGGTTAAAAGTTGGCGATATTTGTAGATGAATGCAATGTCCAAATTCAGGTGTTCATATTTTATGAAAAAGTCAAGGAAGTCAGTATTACTCACAGTCAAGTTTATTTCATGTATACCTCAGAATTTGTCAAACTCCATTGTTGAAATATTCACACAGAAGGCATATCTTTCAAAGGCCACAGAATATGTAGTTTGGATGGACAAATAAGAATTCTGTTCAGCGATAAAAAGAAATTCAACTTAGAAGCCTGAGGTTATTTTTGTAATGACTTGAAATAAGAACCCTGCTTTTTACTTAACTGTTGACAAAAAAAGATTTCTGTCATGGTTTGGGAGAGAGATCATTCAATTTCTATGTAATAATATTTCATTATTAAGGAATTTTCATTCCTTAATACTCATATTGCTTTTTTCAAAGACTACCATACATGTGTTGATGATGAGAATGTACTCTAAAGTTATTCATTAATGATTGTAGAAATTGTAAGAGATCAGCAATATGTATTCCAACAGGATATCTCAATATACATATTAGAGGCAACTTTGAAATGGTTTTTGTTGAAACTAAAATGATTGTCATATAGAGGACAGAATTCGATCTTGATGATTTGATGAAAAGACTGGGGTACATTGGTTGATGCCATGCATACAAATGGTCAAGAATATCTGAATGTTCAATGTTAAAGCACCATAGATTTTCATTCAGACCTGATTTACTCCAAAATCTAGCATGATATATATATGCTGGAAAAAATCTTTTCAATCAGGGATTCAAAGAAATGAATTCAAAATCTAATTTTAAAAACAATAAATTTTAAAATGCCTGTGTACACGTGGGACGAAACATTTTCAATCTCCTTTCATTAAGGTATATGAGTACTGATATTGAATTATTTCTGAATAGGAATTTTCATTCTGTGTAAGTAAATTTTTTCTAAAATCCTTGTCACATATTTTCTTTAATCATTATTTTAAAAACTGATTGTCCATAATCATGAGACAAATTTCTAGGTTTGGATTAGACTATGAAATGAAGTAATCTTAGCAGGGCTGGGCTGTGGAGTTGGAGTCATGGAGTCTGAATCGGAGTCAAGCAGATTTTGGGGTAAAAGGAGTCAGAGCTTGGAGTCGCTAAAAGCAGGTCGACTCTGACTTCAGTTTTTGTTGGACAGTGTGAATTTGAAATGAAATTAAAATGAATTGGAAAAAAAAAAAAATACAAGCTGAGTATGATCTATATACATTGATAAATAGTTATTTTCTGTTTTATTGACATATTAATAAATAAATATAAGGGAGAAGAATGGATGTAATATTTGTCATTAGTGATTAGACTGATTCATTTAGTTACAAATCTCATTGGTAAATTTAGGTAAGTAGCAATAGCAGCAAGAACTCCCAAAATTAATGGCATTCTTAGGAAGCGGGCAGGTAAAGGAGCAATTATTGATCAAGCAGTGTGATAAGGAAGTACAAATTTGATGATAAAGAGGTTGTTAGAATTAAGAACTTTTTTAGAAGATGTAGATACCCTAATGTTTCATTAACAGAAAGACTGTGGAATGATCTTGCAGAATTGGAAACTCTTCTTTCTATACCCTATATAGCCACAAAAAAGCTGCAATCTGAAGAATTGATAGGAGGCGAGAATGGAAGAATGAGATATTTTTTCTTTCTGAAACGGAGGGTTTATTGCAGAAGGAATCATTTCTTCAATGAAGAAAAGAGAAACTAGTTTGTTAGACAATGAGATCTTGCTGGGTTCAATATATGGAGATCTGAAACACCGAATTTTCTTGGATGAGGAACAAATTAAAAAGGCAAAGAAAGTCATCTATGAACTTTCATTAGAATGAAATTATTCTCAGAGAATTCGAATCAGGACAGTCAAACTGCAGACATTGCAGTTGAGTCTCTATCATCCTCTTTCAGTGATGAATTAGATTTTGAGAAATAGTTTTGGATAATATTGAAAAGGCTAAGGCAAAAAGAATGAAAATAAAGAACAAAGAGCCTTTAGATATGAAAATGAAAAAATACAAACAAGATTTCTACACAGCCTTTGACGAAATAGAGAAATATGATTGCTCTTGCAAGACACCTCTTTTAGAACTTATAAAAGTCTATCCTGAAAAGTCAAAAGAAGTAGGCCTAACAGTAACATCTCTTCCTCCTACTTCAGTCAGTAGTGTGGAAAGACTCTTCTCAGCTTCGAAGTTTATCAAATCGGATCTGTGGTGCTCCAACGACGAAGATCTTGCCGAAGCTATACTGTTTCTAAGAAATAACTAATGCAGTTTTTCTATTTCATAATAAATGCTAATTAATATAAATAATTTGCTATGCCATCAATTTGTTTTCTGTAACATCTATTAAATCTTTTATATTAAAAAAATAAGCTGTAACCCATGTGTATATGTTTGTTTACAGGTATATATGAGGGAGTCAGAGTCTTTAAAATTCCAGGAGTCGGAGCACTGAATCTTAGAAAGGGGAATGGCATTATGATGTGTGGAAGAAAGGGGCAAGAAAGATATATAACACGACTTTTTTAGTAGACTGAAAGTACACCCAATTCTTCATGAAGAAACATAAAAGATAGATGAGCAGTGCTCTTATCTTTTGAGGTCACTTATTCCAACATTTGTTGTAACTGTTCGAACAATGATAGACCACGTTGACAAGTGATAAGGGCAACAATATATGTGTGGGTTAAATGGTTGAGGGGGTAAATATTTCGGCAAAAAGGGTGGATTGTGTTCAACGCAAATGTCCAAAAGTTTGCTATTGTAGAGCACTTCCAACCTTAATGAATTAGGAGTTAGATGTTTTTTCATTCTGTAGTCATTTGAAGCCAAGATTTTGAAGTGAAAATCAAAGCCTTTAATAAATCCCATTTGCTTTAGTTGAAATACAGTTGATTTAGACCTCTTTTTAGTAGTAAGTATGGCTCCCATGAGAAAGATATACGAGAAGAAATAAACACAATGCTGGTTTCAAATGCAAAGCAATTAATTTTGCGAACGTGCTGCAGGAAAGATGTTTGGTGCTGGGGAAAGATGGAACAGATAATGATTATTTATTTATGGATCAAAATAATAATGAGGATGAAGATGAAACAAAATTCGATGAAACGCTTGAAGATATAACAGAAGAGCATGGCAAATGCATCATGTTATCAAACAATGAAAATGTTTAATTTCATAAGATATGTCATTTCTTTTAAATGATCAGCATTTTGGTGCTTGTAAAAGATCTATCATTTTTATATCCAACGTGTAATGTGCATCCTTAAATTTCGGTGTTATTTTTTGTATTAAAAGTGCATGTTGTATGCCGGAATATATGGTACTTAACTTTTTAATTAAGTTTAATAGTTTTAGTTATTTAACATAGTTACCATTTGATTTCTTGCTTTTGTTCTGAAATTCGATTCTTTATTCCTGTTGTATAATGAAAGATGTCCAATAACTATATATTCTGCTAATTTTAAACTAAAGGTTTTCACTTGTGCTGAGCAATGCTACTGAAGGAAGATAGTAATATGAGGCAATGTCAGCATTGCTCATGATAAAGATTGTAACATTCATCTGGTCTTACCTCAAGCAAAGAGTTTAGAGAATTGCTTTAAAATTCTGAGTCAGATATCGGTACTAAAAATTTTGCTTATCATGCATTAGGATTAAACAAAATAATTATAATAATATTTTTTCTATTATTTAACATGTAATATAATTTTTATTATTAAATTATTTATAAATCTTTAAGAAATTTTATATAAGCAACAGGAAGTAACATAAATCTGTTCTAAAACCAAACTAGTTTAAATTGAACTTTTGGAAAGCTGAGGATGCATGTTTCTATAATGGTAGTTGATCTCATTTAATGAAAGTATTGTATTTCTTCTACACTTAATTGAGGAAATGAATGCATGTAGTAAAATTATTGCCAAAACATTTGCTTAACTAGACTAGTAATGAAAAAAATTTGACATATTTCATCCTTTTGTATGTGTATAACATAATGAAATATCAAACTGGTTTTAAATATATTTACAGCTTAATTGACTTTTTGCTGTATTTGTATTTCACACAGGAATAACACAGTGGTCAGAAATATCGTGCTTAGGTCCAATACAGACATCTGTTCAGATAACATCAGAATTAACTTTTAGAGCTGATGCTGTGTGTGTACTTGGTCTATTATTGGTAGGGCGTCATAGAAAAGAGGTAAATTTCACTTTATTTCTGTAGATTATCATAATGTATTAATCTGAATTATTTAGCTTAAGTGAGATTTTGTTGGCAAGGTATATTTTGTTTTTTAAACCTTGAATGTTAAAAGCAGTAATTTTTTTTTTTTCTAATTATTTAGTATTTCTGTCATGTGATAAATTATATGTTGATATGAGATCAGTAATCTGTACTACTATTTCTTCCCCCACACTCACCCCCCCAAAAAAGACTTAATGGGATCATAATCCATTCTGATTTTTTTAAAAACTGAATAATTGGGTTTCATCTTTTACATATCTAACTTGCATTTGTTGTAATGCATCTCGGAGAATTTTTTAAAATTGTTTTAATTTATCTCAAGAGTTTATTTATCAGTTAAAGTTTATTTATATCTCAAGATATCAATTGTTTAAAATTGTTTTAATTTATCTTGATTATAATTTTAAAGACTACAATGTTTTTATTTCTGTCAAGCAAAATGCAAATTTCATTTTCTTTGAAAAAATAATATGTTAAATAGTGGAAATACTTTCTGTTTGTTTATTGTTTTATCTTACATGTTTCCATTTCAACTGAAGCAAAAAATGTTTTTAAAAAATTATAATCTGAGAACTTCAGATTAGATTTAATATCTCAAAAAGAATTAAAAGCTTCAAAACTTTTAAAAATATTATAACCATTAAGAAATGTAAAATATCATAAAAAATAAACAATTAAGTTGTAGTGCATGTAATTTTAATTGACCTACTATTCTTAAAGCATACATGATTGCAGTTTTAATTGTAACTGTGCATGCTTAAAATTCATATTTGTTTTATATATTTAACACATAAAATTACCTTAAATGATGCCATTTTTGGATGTATATATGCATAAAATGTGCACAGGTACAAATTTGCTTTTTAGTAATTTAATGAAGAATTCTTCAGTTTCTAATTTATTTAATTTTTATAGGTCCAGAAAGAATTAGCAGAGCTGCAGCTGATTCCTCAACTTTCAGATTTATTTGATCATTTTATTTGGCGATCCAGTGCGTAAGTTCTAATAAAATATAAAACTCATTGGAAAGGATATATATATATATATAGGTAACTAAACAATTTCTTACAAATAAGAAAAAACTACTAACCTTCAAATAAATTTATTTCCTTCAAAACAATAGCCAGAAGAGTCTAGACATTTTTTTCTGTTTCTTCAGGTCATCAAAACACTGTTTATAGGTGTTGGAGCTACCCGTTCATAAAACACATATAACATTTGATTTAATATCTGAGACACTTTCAAATTTTTTTTCTTTTCATGGCCATTTTAAGCTTCAGAAAAAGAAGAAAAAAAATAGCTGTAAGTCAGGAGAATATGGTGGATGATTTATTAAGGTGATTGAATGCTTAGCAAGAAATTGTTATAAGAACAATGCTGTATGGGGCCTATCATTATCATGTAAAAGAAGCTGTTGCCCAGAATAAAAAAAGTTTCTTCCTAACTCACCTTATCCGGTTTCTTAATCAAAAAAGCTCCTTGTAAGTATACTGATTAATGATTAATTTTCAGGGTGAATAAGTCCTTTGTAATAAAAAATACAGTCAACTTCACCTGAAGTCTTTGATTTCGACATCTTTGCCTTTTTCTCTTCTTTTTTCCCTGTATGGGAGAAGACTGTCCTTTCCATTCTGCAGTTTGTCTTTTTGTTTCTGGATCATATTGTAGACACCAGGCAAATATATAGCAGCAGATGAGACCTGCAGGTCTCATCTGCTGCTATGATACACTTTAAGAAATTGTTTTCCTATATTGCAGTAGTGAGCAAATCTTCACAGCAAGTGTTTTTGTTTTCATTTTGATGTTCTGTCAAAATCCTGGGCACAAATTGAACATAAACTATCCTCTTTATCAGATTTTCAATTAAAATTAACCTGCAGCATTCTTTCCTTATCCTAAGCATTATTGAAAGTTGCTGAGTTGTTACACGTCTATCAGCTTTTACCAAGGAATGAATTTTCTCCAGATTTTCCTCATTCTTTGAAGTTGAAAGGTGCCCTCTGTATGGTTCTTCGTCAATGCTTCATACCTACCTTTAAAGTGCTTGTATGATTCATACATTTGTGTTCTTGATATCAATGCATCACCATATACTGTTTGACTCATCTCTAATGTTTTGGTAGCAGATTTACATTAACAAAATTTATAAGATTACCAGTTTAAACTGATTTTGACAAGAAAAGAGATGTAAGCATACATTTATTCTTCCCCCCCTTTTTTTTTAAATTTTATTTTATTGTTTCATCTTTGAATTTGTCCAGTTACTTTAAGGCTGCACCATATATATATATAGCCTTTCCAATGTTGGCAAGCAATCTATATTGATTGTATACAGATTGATATACAGTCTTTAATTAATATATATATATATTGAATGTATTGTTGCTGTTTAAATTATGTGCAGTATTACATGTTGTCTGAAAAAAGAAAACATAAGAAAGATCTCTCAAAAAACATTGAATTTTCATGGTGCTATCTGAATTTGGTTAATATTTGATAACGTATATGTACTAAATAAAAGTTAGTTTTTTTAATGCATTTAATTTAATTTTAAAACTTTCAAATCATCCTTTTTTCAATCTTCTGCATTAAGAAACCTCAGAATTACAAATTTATCATTTGAAAATAAAATGCAAATTAACTTTTAAAAATAAAAGTGGAAAAACTCACCAACGCTAAATCAAATTTATTTTTATAAGATTCCTAGGCATGGCATATTTTCCATTTCTTGCATTCTTGAAAGTTTGAATTTAGCAGTAACTTTTTTACTTACTACATTTGGCTTCAAATATATTATCAATTTCAACAGCTTTTAGCTCACTTTAAATACAATTATAGTGTTTATTATATTGTTGCAGTGGAATATATAAACAACAAAAGTAATTCTGCTATAATTTCATGTTATTATTGTTATTTATTTAATTATTTTTTCTGCTGGATTTTGAAAATTTCCTTCTTGTCAAAATGAAATGGCGATTAAATGATGGTCATGGACATCATGATCTTTTACTGAAACTGCTAATGGGATTTCAGATAGCCGAGATTGCCATGGTCTGCTTTCTACCTACTTCCTAATGTACAATATAACCATTTTACAAAACGCTTTGCATCCTAGATGTGTTGCTTGCTGTTAGAAAGACAACTGTAGAAGGATTATTTTATGGTTTACTACATGTAGGTTAAGGGTGACTTTTTAAATTTTAAGCAGCACTCCTGTGTTAATTCTTTTTTGACACAATATGTTCTCATTAAACTTCCTTCAGAATGGCTGGCCCACCAGCAGCCGATCAGTGAAATCGCTGAACACTGGTAGTTCAGCCTCAGGTTTGAATCCTGCAAGCAAGTTGGCTGCATGGGTGTTTTCGTGGTTTTCCCCATGTGAAATATGTATAAGAACCAGTTTCCCATAGAAAGTCATGCATGAAGGCATCCCTTTCCCTAGGCAGATAGCCCTCGAGTGTTTTGCCATGACCAAATAAACCAAACCAAACCTTCAGAATGTTTAGGTTATACCAAAGTTTTAACTCAGTTGGAAAGCTGTAACATATATGAATAACATATTAATATGTTTTATAAAATCCATATGAATTACATATATATGTATGTTTGCACCATATGCCTATAAGTCTACATATGTAATAAGATATGCATGTGCATATTATAATAAAATGCATTAATAATAATGAATAAATGTGAGTGTACCCAAATGAATGGAAACATGATAGAAGTGTAAAACTTATTTCAAACAGATATAAAGCTGCAGTAAATAATACAATAAATGAAATAAACAAAAGGAGCATAAATTATGTTTATCCCTTATAGGGATCAGACTAAATAAATCGTTGACAAAGGCAGATGCTGCTGCCATAACTTTATGGAGGGAAAAAAAAGGATAAATAAGATTTATTGTATACAAATAATACAGTACAGAGTTTATAGTACAAAGTCCGAGATCTGGACTTCCAATATCCGAAATAATCTAAAATCCCGACCTCAAAACTTTTTTTTTAATGCTTTAACCCCTTAACTGGTTTGCCCGTACAGTGTACGGGCTACTGATCATTGGGCACATCTGGTTTGCCCGTAGGGTGTATGTGCATTGATATTTCCCCCTTTCTTATTTTGATTTGCTCATATTTTTAATATATTGAAAGAGAGGCTTTAGTATTAGAAAATTTCAATAGATGGCGTAGCTTGTCCATACTATTTAAAATCATTCTAACCAGTTTTTTCTTTTGTTACCGGAAGTCAAAAATATTTTGCATTCTTGGTTCTTGAAAGTTTTGCTATACGGTTTTTTGGTTGTGAATTCAAAGCTCTTTAGTTATGGATGCTACAATAGATGATGATACTCTATTGTTAGATGCTTCTGATGATTCGGGTACAAATTCAGAACTGTCTTGTAATGTTCTGGATAATTTTTCAGATGACACGTGTAGTGAGATCAGCTCCGATGAAGATTTGACTTCGATGAAAGATTGAATTTGATGAAATTGATGTGAAAAAACACGCCCTCTTCCGTGTCCCAGGTTCAATTTTACTGGTGTTCCAGCAGTAAATATACAAATTGATGATACTTCTGATGAACTACAATTTTATGAAGCATTTATTGATTCTTCTTTGATGAATAAAATTGTGGAAGAAACGAACAGATATGCGACACAGTGCATCCAGTCAAGCACTGCAAAAAAATTCTCAAGAAGTAAATTTTGGGAACAAACAACTCAGGAAGAGATGCATATATTTTTTGCTCTGGTTATACTGCAAGGAATTATAAGGAAGCCCTCAGTTGATCAGTACTGGAGTAAGAGACATTCCACGTACACACCTTTTTTTCCCCAAATAATGACTCATCGTCGATTTCACCTTTTGCAACGATACTTACATTTTTCGGATAATTCAGCATTTGATGCACAAAGTCATGAATGCCCAAAATTAGTGAAATTGTGGCCAGTTTTGAAACATCTGAATGAGAAGTTTTGCTCAACAGTGACACCACCACGTGATGTAACTATAGATGAAAGCCTTATGCTTTTCAAAGGAAGATTAGGGTGGAAGCAGTATATTCCCCTAAAAAGAGCAAGATTTGGAATAAAATGCTTTATGCTGTGCGAATCGATTCCGGTTATGTATGCTCTGTAATAATATACACAGGCAAAAACACGATTCTGAAACCAGAGTTTTCAAATCTATGTATTTCGTCACAAGTTGTTATGACAATGATGCATCCGTTACTGCATAAAGGATATTGTCTTATGACGGATAACTATTATTCGTCGCCAGAATTAGCTAATAAATTAATTTCGTGTCGAACGGATACATATGGCACCCTGAATCTAAAGAGAAAAGAAGTCCCAAAGGAAATGCAAAAGAAAAAAACTAAAAAAAGGAGAAATCATTGCATTTCAGAGAGGAAAAGTTACTGTTATGAAGTGGATGGACAAAAAGAATGTTTCATTACTGTCTACTATTCATAATACTGCAAAGGTAGAAATACAGGTCCGCTCTGAAACGAAACAGAAACCAAAAATTGTTATGGATTACAATAACACAATGGGAGGAGTAGACCGCATGGACCAAAACTTGAAAAATTTTGAAGTCATTAGAAAGAGAGGAAAAAAATATTATAGAAAAAATTTTTTTCCACATTTTTGATATTGCCGTATGGAAGTCATATGTCGTATATTGTAAAAAAGGTGGAAAGAAAACTCAGTTACAGTTCAGACTAGATCTTGTTGACAGAATTATCGAGAAATACGATTCTGGGATGACTTGCAAATATGGACGACCTGGTTCTGAGCCTAATCCTTTGAGACTGACCGAGAGACACTTCGTAGAAGTTATTGCTCCAACAGAGAAAAAACTTAGACCTGCCAGACAATGCGTTGTATGCTGTTCCAGGAGGATTGAAAGTGGAAAGAGAATCCGAAAGGAAACACGGTATTTCTGTCCTGATTGTGATGTAGGACTTTGTCTGACACCGTGTTCTAAATTGTATCACACAAAAAAGGACTACTCAACAATGGTATTGGAAGTATGAATTTTTAACGTATGGTAAGTTTTCTTTTAGATTCGCATTTCGTGAGATCTGTATAATAGGCTTCACTGCATAAACTCCGTGATTACAAAAAGCCAACATGTAGGGGCATTTGTGTTACAAAGTTATAAAATAAAAAAATGCTTAAATTCATTATTTATCAAAATTTTTAAAAAAATTCTTTCATTTTCCTTTTATACTAAGTTAGGCCTTTAATTATATGCAATAAAAAATATGCTTTTTTTTTTTTTGGAACATTTCTGGAAAAAAATTGACCAGTTAAGGGGTTAAGCATGGGTATTTGATTTCCCCCCCCCCATGAATAAAACATAGAGAGTCCCAATTCTTAATTTTCCCTTCGGCACTAAATAAATACCTTGTTATTGAAGAAACAATAATTTAGCATTAATTTGTATGATAATTATTTGGCTCCATAGCTGCGTATCTGCTTGGCATACATCTCAAACCGAAACATTCATCGTTGGTTTTACGCTTACTAATATCCCTGGCTCCAAGCTGGCGAAGCATTATTTATTATATTTTACTTTCATCACTGCACGTTTATCAATACATGACAGCTTGAGTAATAACTCATACAGCTGAGCCCAAACTTTTTTTTTTTTTTTTTTAAATTAGTAATTGAATAACAAAAGTGTATGGTAACCTTTTATGTTGACATTATGCTTGGCAATGATTACAGATTTAAGTTAAATGCGCTAAAAATATTAACGAGGAAAAATTTAACAAAATTTCTTTCCATATGCTAAAAAAAAGATTTTTTTAATGATACTTATAGTCCAAAAGATTATATTTTGTGCTCTTTGAATTAAGAATAACTGATTTGTTTTTCACATAAATCCAGAACGGGCACCAAAGCTCGTATGGCGACACCAGGTGGCAGAATTTATGGAAGATGGGATTTTTAGAATATAGAGAAGCATCGAGCAACAAAGTTAATGCCTGAAAATATTTTAGAAGTTAGGGAAAGCACTGGGATCCAAAATTAAGGGGCAGCAAAAATTTAGAACTTAGGCGCTTGGTAGCAGAATTTAGGATCCACAAAGACTGCATCAGGCAGTAAGATATCTAGCGCCTGCTCTCGATGAGCCTTAAGTAATATGTGGGAATTTATTTATTCAGGACTGAGATAAGCCTTAAACATGTCCAAGAAATAGACGTATAATAACTAGACTAATACAATCATGCTTAATTGTCATCAGTGGGCGATACAAGCGAGACAAAATTTAGCGGAACAACATGTCTTTTGTCGCCACTCTCATGATACGTAGCCAATAATGTATGGTAGACACTATTAAGATAGGCTAAAATTATACTTTACTGATTCCAATTAATTTCAGCTAATATAACAGATTGCGCTGTTCCTTAACTTTCTAATTTGATCCAGCTTAATTATTTTTTGCAGACTGTTTTTATAACAGCAATTTTATGAAAATTAAAGCTTCAACTTTTGATTATATCGAAAAGAGTTTCTAATTCTAGAGCTGCAACAAGATCTATAAAGCAAAAGCATGTTTTGATGTCCATTAAACAAAAAGTGGAGTTGCTTTAAAAAGTGCATAAGAGTTCAAAATTATGCAAGGAGTATTTCATTGGAAAGTCAATAGTATATGACATAATAAAACAGGAAAAAGAAATTTTTTTGAATTTTTTGTGGATTCCAACGCCCCACTCGCAATGAATAATAGAAAAATTTTTCATTATTCTAAAAGTGAAGATCATGACAAAGTGATGACTGAATGGGTCACACAGCCTCGCAGCGAGGGCATGCCATTGACGGGTCAAATGATAATGCCTCAAGCTAAAGTATTTAATTTCACTAATAATACTTTAGCTTGAAGAGGTAATAAATGAAGATGATATAATGGAAGTTTTCCATTTCTATGACAATGCCCCAATTATCAACCAATTAACAGACGACAAAATCTGTAGTATGGTTCTAGATCCAGAAAGTACTGCTTCCATTAATAAAGAATGTGATAGAAATGAATTATTGAAAATGATAAAATTTTGATGGACAAATTTGTCGGAATTCTCAGCACAGCAATTACAGGACTTGAACAATGGAACTTTGTAACTGAATAAATTGTGTCTTGTACAGAATCAAAGAGAAAATATTAGCACAAAAAAAGCAACTTAAACAACTTGCATTGAAAGAAATGTTTAATAAAGTAAACAATTAAGAATTTTGTTACTCTTTAGATCATAAATGCTTCATTATTTCATAAATCACAGTTTCATATTTTTAATTTTTATAATCTCTACATGTCATTTAACAAGTTTAAAACTGATGGTCTAATATCCGAAAAAATCTGGAATCGCTAAGTCCCGACAAGTCTGGATTTCCGACTTTGCACAGTATATCTTTTGTATAATGGACTTTAATGCTTGTCATGCATCTCAGGTGACAATAGATAGTTGATAACATAAAACTGCAAAATCACAGTTATGATCATAACAAAGCCTCCTAGGCAAATAGATGTGACTTCATTAGTCAATTATTTTTGTTTATTTTATCTCAAATATGAATCTTTAAAGATGTGAGTGATATTACCATTCATTCTTTCAGGTTTAAAATTTTGTTATAATATCCATACAAAATATTTAAAAATAAAAAATTGGAAATAATCAAAAAGGCTGTGCACTAAAAACAGTTAGCCATTAGAGTAGTAAAAGAGGTGCCCCCCCCCCAAAAAAAGAGGTCAGAATAGTAATCAACAATCTAAATTCCATCACTCTTAATATTTCTTTGGAAATTCTCAGAATTTTAATTCGCTATCATTCTTGTTGAATCAGATTTTGGAGAAATGGAGAACTAAATTGAAAAAAAAATCCAGTATTAAGTAATAATCCAGCAAATTAAGTGGAATAATATTTCTTCTATGCAATTAGGTTATAAAATGTATATAATATAGTAAATATATATAATAAGGATAATGCCAGATTCTTATTACTGCAGGAATAAATTTTGCAGATCATCTTGATACCACTTCCTTTTGTGGTCTAAAACAAATTTTCAGACCTTCAAATCTGTTTTCAGAAGAGTATTACTCACCTAAGTGCATGTAGAGGCTAATGGAGGCTCCTTTGAGAAGAACTAGACCAGATTTCATTTGAAAGTTCCCCTTAGCTTTACCTTCCTTTCTTCAAAAGAAGAGGGGGAAAGACACTCAGGAATTAGACAAATTCTCAGACATTGCAGTATTCTAACTTCAAGGCTTACAGAAAGCTTGGCTGTCAGAGAGTTAATGTAGTGTTTATAAAACATAAATCAAAAAATAAGATTAAGGAGAAAAACAGTGTAACTTCACTTTTTGTTGTTGTTGTTGTTGTTGTTGTTGTTGTTGATTGTACTTGCTTTTTATATGATTTATAATAATTCCTTATGCTGTGCCTGAAATTTTTTAATTTAAAACTATTTTTTTGCAGACGTGATCACACTCGTCTTCCTGGCCATAACAGTTCTTGTGAATGCAGTCCTGTAAGTATTTTTCTTATGAAATTCTACTGGATAAATGATAAAGTAAATTTTTAAAAATAATATAACTATGGAGACTGAATTTTTTTCAGTGAATAAATGCTTTCTGTGCAGTTTTGCGAGGTGATTTATATAAACAAAGAAAAATGTGTTTAAATGAAATTTTAAAGAAGTAGGATAAGTATAGCCAGTATTTTTCAGTTGCAGTTTATTGTGACAAGATTTCCTGATACTTCGGTGAGGTAGTGGCCTTGGTGAGCTGTAATAATTGGTGTATTTCTGACTTGACTAGGAACTATCACTTACCAGTCTGCACATGTGCATATAATTTACATTTTATGTGTGCACATCATTTATGTTTCTTCAGCTTGTAGCAGTTTTCTAATTTTTCATTGATAATTGATTGTGATATGCTTGTTATTTCCAACTTTTAAGAGTTAGCAAAATAACAAAACAAGAAATTTTAATGATATGGCCCACTATCACCTGGAGTCCTATATAGGGAGAGTTCAGGCATGACATCTGCTTTAATAATATTTTTGATTCTTTTTTAGCATCAAATTAACAAATGAACTTTGACCACTGAAAAGTGTTTGTTTAAAATAAATTTTAGGTGTGTTTCTGTATGTTGTTTATTTAAATAAATTGTTTACAGAATTGTGCTAAGTGAAATAATCAATACTAGTTTATATTAAATCACTTCTTTATGTGTATCTCAAATAAATTGTGCATTATTGATGAATAAATTGCTTATCTGTAATCATCTGTTTCTTGCTAAGGCTGCTTGTTGCAACATGAAAGTATCCATTTTTGTTTCCAAATTTTCATTTAAAATGTGTGTGCATATACAAATGAAATTTTTACTTTTGTGTAAACATTTATTTTTATAAAAATTGGGGAGGAGAAAATATGTGTTGCAACTAAACTGACAATATATTTGCATTCCCTCCTCGCGTAATCTTAGTTTGCTTTCTTTGCTTAAAATTTGTGGATATTTTGAATTTTTCACAAAATTGTGCATATTTTTAGATATTTCTGCTTTTAAGATTAACAGTTGTAATTCTAAGTTAATGCAGAAATTAAACTAAGACTGGACTGTAATGAAATAAGTTTATTAAGGCAATAAATAAAAAACTTCTTTTATTTGAATATATAATTTTCTTTTTATGTGCATTGTTATTAAGTATCCAGACTTTTTTAGGAAGTGGCATTAAAAATACAAGTATTAAGGTTGATCCATAGCTTCTGTGATCATTCTGAGTAAGTTCTTTAGCATATTTAATAAATTTATATTGACTGTAATTTTGGTATTATTTAAATTTTGAAATAATCTTTTGTTTCTTTTTATAACTGGTAAAATTTGTTTGGTATTACTTTCAAATGAAAATATTTAGCATGTAAGAAAAATTTTTTTAAATTTCAAAATGCATGCCATTTAATACTAGAATTAATTATAATAACAGTAATATTGTAGCTCTTGTATTTTGTAATATTTATTAAACTCAAAATTAGTGTTTCTTTTGCATTTGTTGCTCTGGCATTATAATCTAATATTTTGCTTTTAACAGTGAAGTCATAAAATGCCATAAAATATTCATTATTATTGATATTTCCTTATTACATATGGATGAATTTTCATATTTTTGCTTATGTGTTTGGTTGTTAATTTATCATTGATATATAATAGCCTCTAAATAATAATGTACAGCTTTCGACATAATTCTCATAAAAATAAATATTCCATGGCCAGTTGTAGCCATCATGGACCTTATAGATCTGTTTTAAAAAAATGTTTCATTGATAGTTGATGGATGGGATTCTCACCCCTCCCCTACTTTTTTAGCTGCCGATTTTATGGTTTAATAATTTTGTCTTTTAACAGGGTGTGGTGTTTTTTTTTGGGGGGGGCATAATTTCTTTGGACACATTTGTTAATTATTAAATATTTGAATTTATGAAACTGAAACATAAACTTTTATTTTAAACATATCAAGCATTATTCAGTAAAATCTGGAAATATTTGCATTCTGTGTGTTGCTCTCGTGAGCTGATTGATTTTTTAAAATTTTTACTGGAATAAGTTTTCTGAATAAAATGGTGTATACGTGTATAAGAATGGTACAACGTATAGCAATACTCAGCCAAAGACAAGTCTGTACTCAAACGTTGCGAGCCAGCAAGTGTCAACAGAGGACAGGGCATCACTGAGTACAGAAAAGCACTTTGTGGAATAGAAGATTTTGAATAAAATCTCTAATTTTACTGCTCATTAGGTATTCTTATGTATGAGCTGAAACCTTATTTCTTTTACTCAAATGTTAGAAGTTTTGCAATAGTGGACTACAGCCATTAACATAATACTTTGGATGATAGAAGAAATGTTACTGTTCTTGTTTTACTTTCTGAAGGAAGTAAAATTTGTTATCATTTTATAATTAAAGTAACTTTATACTCTTAGCTTTTCTTAACAATGAATGGATTATAAGCTTACAAACAATAATAGTTGCAAAAATATTTAAATCCACAAATAAACTCGAGGAAAAAATAATATTTCCCTCTGAAATCTCAAAAAGCTTCGACAGTAAAAAAATGGAAGAGAAAAAAGAAACATGAAAATTTTATTAAGAAAAGCAATTTAGTTTTTAATCAGATAATAAGGAGAATGAGTAGGAACAGTTTTACAAATTTAGTTAGTTGCTTTGCTAGAAGAGAATTGGCAACGGTAATTTTTCCCATTATCTAAACCACAAGTTCTCAAAGGGGTAAGTATGGACCTCCCTGGGAGTTGATAAAATTTTAAAGGGGGTCTATGATAATCAAAGGATTGATAACTGAATATGCACCACCAGTTTATCAAATCAAGCTACCAATGATAACAAAAAATTGTACTAGTAAAATTTATAATTGGTTGTTTATTGATATAAAGCTTTGCCATACAAGTAATTCATACTCAAAATGCCTATGTACCTAAGTTTTGGAATTTAAAAATCTTCCAAGAGAAATATCCCAAAACTGAAGTTGTTGCTGGATCAACATTATTGACTTTTCCCTTTTCTTGCCTAGTGGAAGCAAGCTTAGTCGAGGCAATAACTTGCTGCAGAAAATAAGAAAGGATTGAATATTTCTAAACAGCATTATTTAAGAACTAAGTTAAGCAACTTTATGCCACATACTTAAAAAATTGCATCAATACATGAAGCACAGCCATCATGTTAAGTAGAATCAAACTTTTGGGTAATTAGAATCTGTGAATTTGAGTCTGATAACTTATTTATATTTGTAAAATTAAAAATAATAAAGTTTTAATAAACCATTTTTTCCAAAACTTTTGTTCATATTCTTAGTCTAATTGCTATCTTTAAGTTAATGTATGCACAGTTATTTATATTATAATTATGTTGTATGCTATATATTATAGAGAAAAATGTAAGGGAGTTTATGAAGAAATTATCCTTTTAAAAAGGGTTGATGCAAGGAAAAGCTTGGAATCCCTGTCTTAACTAGAGATGGGCAAAATTCCTTTTTTTATGGAAACAAATCAGAACTATTTGCTGAATAAAATGAATTAGTTCTTTTTTATGACTCCTGGCTCATTAACAATTACCTTGACGGAAAAGATTTTGAACGAGGGGGGGCATCAAGAGTGGTTAGCGAGGATGGTGGAAAGAATTGAACAAGTAGTGGGTTCGAGACCAGTTAGTGAGGTTGGAGAAGTGCAAAAAGAATTGAGCAAGTTGTGGGATTTGAAGAACTGACTCAATCAAACGCTAACTCTCTGAACTAATTTCTTTCAGCTGTAGTTTCAATGTTCCCTATAACTTCCTTTCCGTTTAGAACTGACTATAAAACTCTAGAATAAAAAATTGTTAGAAAGTTGTTAAATGATAAAAATTAAATTTACTTTTTAATATGGGAGGATAAACATTATTTTCTCCCCTAAAATGGGATGTTAGAACGGTTCCAACTTCCTCCTGTTCTTTTAACCAATCAGGCATTCGCTTACCTAACAAAGTGAATCTATTCATGAATGAAGAGCAGATCTCTATTCCTGGCATGCTTTCAAAGAGCTGTGCATGAACTGTAAAAGAGTTACAACTCCATTTTCTGGAATTGGAGTTAATTTGCTCAGTAAAGTGAACCGGTTCGTAGCATTTTTTCTGGAGCAGAGCATCAAACTCTAGTCTAAATGGTTGTAAGGTGTAGTTTAATTTTGTGACAGTTATTTTTAATTTTGAAACCCTTTCCTTTCAATTCATGTTTCCCATTTACAACTGCCTACTAGAATAAGTTTTTAGTATCGCATTTCATGCAAATGGGTTAGAAGAAGTACTTAAGAAAAGTTCAACTTCGAGAGAGAGTGCTTAGGAGCCCTTAGTGGCGTGTGTTTGCCTTCTAGCTACTTCATTCTTGAAATTAATACGCTCGGCCGTATTGTACGTGCCTGTTAATAATCGCTGGCTAGTTTAGTTTAAGGGCTAACTACGTTAGGTATTTGTGTCTAGCTTCGGCTAAGTCTATTTAGTTTAGTATTATATTAGTTTCTTATTTTCTTGTCCTGATTTAAAAGCCCAAGTTGAGGCTTTCCTGTAAGCTTGAGAGGGAGCTATCTGTTATTATTTCTTTGAGTGAAAGGTATTTTAAAACTTCTCAACTCTCTGTAGCAACTACTATTATTTGTTATTATTTCTTTGAGTGAAAGGTATTTTAAAACTTCTCAACTCTCTGTAGCAACTACTTGAACTACATTTTCTTCTGGCTCGTATATACATGTTATTTTGTTTGACGTTATTCTGTTACGACAGTGATTAGTGTATTGTTTCTTTAAAAAATAGCTGTAAAAACTCTGGCATATTAAAGTTTTTTAATGCATTTATTGTTATATAGAGTTACAAATTTTTAAAATAGAATAATGTTCTAATTATTTATAATTTTGCTTATTACATTATTGAAATTTATGACTGAATATTATGATAACATTATTCCAGCTACAAGCATGTTATGCTTTCATGGAGAGAGTATAGTGAGTTGCAAGCTTTAGAAGGTAAGAATATAAATGTTTATAAATAATTTCCTTTCACCTCTTTGCTCTTGTTATAACATGTAAATCAGAAACCTGAGCTTAGCTATAGCATAACAGATATTCATTATTTTTAATCATTTGTTATTTCTTTATCCATAATGCTAACAAAAGAATATATTTTATGTATAATGTATAGAATTATTATTATTGTTATTTTTATACTATTCAAAAATTTTATTTATGTAACAATATGATGTAATTACTATGGTGTAATAAATAAAAATTATTATTCTCATGCAAATGAATTTAATACATTTATTTATATATTTAGTGTTTAATCATATATTTCTTTAAAAGAACTTCATACGTTTTTTTGTATATCCCCCTTCTATGATTTATTTTTCTTCTACCTTTGATACCAACTTTTCCGAAGATTAAGAATGAAGTATTTTTCAAATGCTGAGTTAATTATAACTTAAATATGAGTTTTTGCCATCAGTTTGTATTTATAATTTTTTTTTAATTGCTAATAATATTTAGCCATCTTGTTTCCCCCGAGTACACGACCTATAGCATGGCCAGCCATCTAAGCTATCATAAAAGAAATATGTATATATAATGATTTTAATGAGTCCAATAGTGTAATTTCATAAATATATGTTCCATTTCTAATTAAATATCTTACGATATAAATGTATTTTCATTTAAACTAATCAGATTAACAAGTGGAAAGAACATTCTTAAAAACTGTGTACATTACTTTTAAATCCCTTAGTTTGTTATACTATAGCAGACAGGGTATATTTAATAGTTAAATATGTTATGCTTCAGTAAAAGGGAGCACACTGACACATGGAAGATTAAAAGTATTTTAGGTACTGTTCTGTTATCGGGAATGGGTCCAGAAATTGTATGTATGTATGTGTTCATATTTTATGCATGTGTATATATACATACGTATGTGTTTGTGTGTACACACACAGATATGCACATAAATTCATACACATGTGCATACATACACACACTTCTGAATCCGGTCATGATAACAGAAGAGTACCATATTTTATTTCAGGCAGTGGCAACACATTGACTTTAAATAGCAGAATTTGTTGATTAAGATTTCAAGCTTAATATCTCACATTTTGCCGAATGCCAGCGGTCTCACCCATTGAGATAAAAATATTTAATTTCAAACAGTGTTACCACATTGTTTCAAATTGCTGAGTTTATTAATGAAAAATTCTTAAATTCATATAAAATATGAAATGAAACAAAAACAAATTCAAAGTTTTGGCTTCAAGGTATACATGTTCAGATGAAAGACTACATGTATCCAGAATTTAGTAACTCTTTAGTGTTTCTGTTTTGCACAATGCGAGGAACATACAAAGAGACTCTTCATTATTTAATTCATGAGAAGTACAATATAATCTACATTTTCAGCTGTCTGACATTAATTATCAAAGTAGATTAAAAAATATTACTAAATGATATTTTATTTCTTTCATTAATATTGTACAATTAACCCCATAACTGCCGCGGAAAAAAACACACAAGATTCATTTCCCAGTGCCACTGTTTTTCACATAGGCGCACATAGTTATGTGATGTATTAGGGTAAAAGTAAGTGCAGGTTTTACTTTTTAAAAACTGTTTACTTTCACAAAATAAAGAATAAAAGAAAACAATTAATGCACAAAATTTAATGTTTAGAGTAAAAGTATAATAAAAAGATGTAAGTATAATAAAAATGATGTTTTTGTAATAAAAAAGATGCCTAAAATGGAGTCTCGATCAATTTATTTTTAGACCAGTAAAGTGTAATATCAGGTTTCAGTGTTATACCTTGGGAAATCAGTATGCCTAAAAAAAACATATATTTCTTCTGAACTGGTTGAATCCCATGATTTTGTTCTTGATTTTTCGTTTGCAAGGTGTTAGTTCATATACTCATCTACAAAATGGTTAGTTTTAGTAACAATATGAAGCACAAGCAGTTCATCAAAAAATAATTCAAAAAAGATAAATGGGTTTGAAACATCCGTTATATCTTTCTTTATTCCTGGAACCTACTACAAAAAGTAAACGAAAACGTAGGACACAGATTAAAAAAAAATATGTTTTACTCAAACAACACCAGCCAATACCGCTCAGTCATTACTTTCACCGCTTTAGACACATCCCTCTCTCCAGTTTCTCCCCACACTTCTCTAAAATAGTATCCTCCTTCACATACTTTGTCAAGGTCATTGTGGTGTAGCATTCCAAAGCTTTGCGAATAATTTTATGGGTAACAGCGCAAAGCAAATGATAGTATTTTGGAAGGGCGTATATGTACGCCCGGGGTAGTTAACGCATCAGCTGAGCAAGGCATATATATATGCCTGCGGCAGTTAAGGGGTTAAAAGCCATAATTATAATTGACAAAAAGGGCATTTTGAAATCTCTCTCTTTCTAATATTCCAGCAAGATTCAGAATAACTTTGTGTAAGTTCATTATATCAGCTGAAAAAGGCCAATAGTGATCAAGTAGCTAGAACTGCAAAAAATTGGTAGTTATCTCCCCAGTAAAATGAGCTTTTTCTCTGATCATAATCATATGGAATATAACTATGATCTAGTTCTTCATAAAAAGTCATCTTTGTTTACTTCTTACGCTGATTAAATTGGCGTACTTTGCCAAAAAATATTTTAGCAGAATTTGTAAGCTAGAAAGATTTTAGAGGCATTTGTTTGTTACTATAACTGGTTTGAAAATACATTTAAGTTTCTTTATAAAAATTTATTTATTCATTTTAAAAGCTTTATGTGATGTAATTTTAAACAGAAAGCATTTTGTGAAATTGTTAAAGGGATAACGGTTTCATATTGATAAATATTTTAATTAGTTTAATTTTAGAAAAAATGTTACTGTCTTTTGAGATTTTTCCCATTCATTATTTATCCATTTACTTCCAGAAACACCATCTTCTTCTCCAGTTTCATCAGGGTATGTAAACCTAGATATTACATTAGTTTCTTTAACACTTCCTTCTCACATAAATAAGAGCACATTTGTATTTAATATTCTTTTTTGTCTCATTGTTCTTTTTGATCATAAGTTTTCAGAATCATCATTGTAAATAAATATATATTCCAATAGGCTGTCTCGTGATTTAATGTGTGTAGGCATGAAAGGATTGTTAAGCAAAATTGTAGAAGTTATGAAGAAGGAAAGTGGTGCTTCAACATTTAGGTTTGTAGTTTGTTGTTAATGTGTCTTCTCTGTATGTAATTATTTAATTTCTGCTCCATATATTTGATGGTGATGTGCAACTATTTGGTCATGAACTAGCTACAGGATTGGATAGGACCCCCAAAATATGCTATCAGACATTACTAACAGTACTTAATAACTAAAAAATATACTTGTGTTTTGAAATTAACTTTGCTTACAAAATTATGGCTATGTATTTTTACCTTTTTTCAGCTCATACTTTTGGCATTAAAAAAAATTCTTATTAAATTTTGTAAGTAGTTATTTAATTTTTCTTGTGTGAGAAGTTCATACAAAAAGATACATAAATTGAGGTTCTACAGTCAAGAAAAAATAATGTGGGTTTTAATATTTGTTTTTTCAGAAATTTGAAAAATTATCGCAAACCATCAGTAAAACAGAATTGTCTACGGAAAATATAGAGTTCCTTTATTTCTAATGATGTTTATTCATCTGTTATTTGCAGTATTTTTTAATACTAATTTAATTTATATAATCAAATGAACTGATTCTTCAGATTAAATGTTTTGAAAATACAGATATATTCTTAATCATATTTTTCTGTTAGTTATAACATGGGCCATTCCTCTTACTCCCTCCTTTTTATTTAACTAGCCATAGATTAACTGTGGGCTTGAGGTAACTGTACTCATTGTCATCAGCATTACTTCAGTTAATCAGGAGTTGACTGTAGTTTAATTTAGAATTTCGTGGTAATATGAATAAGGTCTGCATATTTTATAATTAGTATTTAAAAATTAAGAGCATTGAAAGATTTAAATTTCTGTTCTATTTTACAAGCATAGATTCAACAAAATTTATCTCTTTTTTTTTTTTTTTTTTTTTTTTTTTTTTTTTTGTAATTTAGACTTAAGTGGCACAATTTTTAGTCCGGTTTTCATTTACAAAGATAATTTCTTCTGTGTGTTTGTTTGATGTTGTAATAGTTATGTATATTTTAAAGTAAAATTTGATATTAAATGTAATAAGGGAAATCATCTGAAAACTGCAGCTAGATCTTTATTAATTAATTGTTTAATTACATGCATAATTTTTTAATTTGAGATTAGATAAGTTTTTAAAAATCTGACACTAATATTGATTAAACTTGATCATAATTGTGGGGTCATTTTGGTCAATTCATCTCTTTCATTCTCATTATTCATCTATTTATAACTCTCAAAGGTATTCTGAACCAGTTAAGAAGTTCCAAATTTTGCTTCATTGAATAAAGTTTTCTTGATTTATATTTGTATTTTTTCTTTAAAGGTTTTGGCTTTCTAGAGCTATAGAGAGTTATCTTCGAGGAAGTTTTTCAAGTGCAGATCAAGATTTTCTTCTTCGAAGAAATTTATTGCAGGTTGTTTTATTTGTTTCTTACTTGCTGTGTTTTTGAAATGATCCAGTCTTTGTAACATTAGTACAGCACCATTCATTCAAATTCCAGTGAAATATAATTGTGATTATTATTGATTATTGTTGTTTAGTCAAGTTTATTGTTGATAAGTCAGCTTTTCTAGGAAATTATTGTAAAATTCACATTAAAGAAAAATCAGGGAAAACTTTAAAAAAAAAAAGGCAGTAGAATTTTAACTGACCCTTTTTCTCTCCCCCCCCCAAAAAGAAGGCATAGATTTATGAAATATTTCCTGGTCATGTTTATGATTGACTGATCACGTCCTAAAACTGAAGCCACAGACCAGAAACAAATGATATGCAAGAATATGAAAATTTTTCAGTGTTCCTTTCAAGAAGCTTATTTGCCTTTACTGAGTAGTGTTTGTATGAGAGAATATAATAAAAGAGTTCATGGATTTGTAGTTCCTGCTATAAAAGTAAAGTGAAACCTTGGTTAAGGAATGTGCTCTTTCCTAAAGGCTGTTGTCATCCAAAATGTTCATAAACCCAAATTGCTTGTGTAAACTTAATGACGGTACTTTTTACACTTATTCTCAACAGCTATTGGCTATCATTGATAATAATACATAGTCATGTATCATGATAATCATGCATCTAGAAGCATAACATTCTGTGAAGGGAAATAAGATTAGAAGTTCTTAATAGGTTTAAAATATTTTATGGTTATGAAAAATTTCTTACATGTAAGAAGCTTTTAAATATAATAAGGAATAATTATATGAATTACATTCATAAGATCTAACCTCTTAAATAAGAAACTAATATGAATAAGAACTTCCTTACAGGAAAATGTATAACTTGCTATTAGAGCAATCTCTCTATAAATGCTTTAAACCAGGGGTGCTCAACTGGGGGGTCATAACTTTAGTCGGGAATACAGTCCATCTATTATTTAGCTTTTATGTATTTAGTTTTAGTTTGTTAGAAAAAAATATTTTTTTATTTGTTTTGGTATTTATCAGTATATTCTTTATTGTTTATTTAATTAAACACATTAAAAATAATCTAAATCTAAATAAATGTATACATTTATTGAGTTTTGGAAAAGAGGAGGGAATTATATTCTAGTGATGCTGCAAAGCAGGCTGAGAATCACTGTTTTAAACAGAAGGACGGTGGGGAACAGATTTGATTTATTAGTTGATGGTAATACAAATTTCTGATAATATGATACTGTTAAAGAACATACTAAGATTTATGTTAATTTAGGGTATTTATTCTTTTATCTGTTGAGTATAAAATTTTTAGTATTAGCAACTTAAGTTACAGATAAAATATCAATTTGTATAGACATTCATATATTCTTATGTAGGTTCTTTTAATTTGCATCATGTCATTTGTTTATATAAATGACTATTTGTATATCATATTTTGTATATGTCTATGTATTTGTATTTGTATATATATGTCTATATATTTGTATGTCATTTATATTTGTAAAAAAATGTTCAAGTATAGGTTAATACTGTTACTGAAATATTAAAATTTCTCTCTCTTTTAGCATGTTGTAGGTAATCTTCTTGCAAGTACTGTTAGACATAAAGAAGTTCGACAAAGCAGTTTTGATCTTCTAGGAGAACTCATCAAATTCAATTTTAAAGCTTTCATAGAGCTCAACAAGCAAATGCACAGTACTGCAAAAGTAAAATGATAAATATGTTTTTTTATTAAAAGTTACTTTTATTTACAGACTTTTTTTATAATTTTTATAGTGAAAAATATTCAAATACATGTAAGATTTTAAAAAATAGAGTAAATCAGACTTTTAGCAGTGATTTTTGATTATCCACATCCTCACTGAAAAGTCTCGAATTCCTAAGCATTCGAAAACTTGTTAGCATAAAGAGCTTTTGGAAACTTGTTGGCAGCTAATTTTTCACCAGAGGCCATAGCTGTTTTCAAAATGGTGATGCAAAAGAATCCCATGAAAGAGCAGTCTTTAAAATTAAAAAATAAGGAATATGGTTATAAAACACTTGCCTTTTGTGAGAAATCCTGTAATTTTCTGCATTGTTGTTCATCCCTTGTACACAGTGATCTGTTCACAAATTCAGCATCCATATATTGTCATCATTGCACACTCTCTGAAACAGATGCTGAGTTACCACATAATTATTTTGCCAACAACTTTGTCTCATGAATACTTTTTTATGATTTTCTCAGTGGGGGTGTGGATAATCAGAAAATACCATTCTAATTTTGCAACAGCCCCTTGACTTTCCATTTTAATTTGATTTTTTCCCTTTTCCATCTTAAAAACACTAACCATTAATAATAAATTGCTGTAAGCAGTGTAATTTCAAAATAAATCCCTTGTCATGTGATTCCTGCATAATGCCAATTATGCAAGCTCTTAATAGTGCTTAATAGCCAACAATAATTTCAGATTTGCCAATTGAAACTCAACAAAATCAAGATAAATCAAAACTAAATCATTCAGAAATGGGGATTTAGCTTGGACACATCAAATTCTTTGGCTTTTTACTGCCAATATACTAAAGTCTATTGCTCCTTCCTTCAACAAATGTATTTCAGAAATATGAAAGATATTGATGTAGTTCTTCAAGCACAGGTGGACTTGTTAATGTTTATTTGCACTTAAATTATTTGTCATTGAAAATAAAGAAATATTAAATCAATTTTGAATGATAACATATTTTAGGCTATAAGTTGCATTTTTCGTAAATCGTTCTTCGTTGCATTGACGACTTCAAAATTATTGCTTGCACATGCATATACAGATACATATGTGCATGCAATGGGAGGATGTCATTTTATATAAAAATAATTAAATGGGAATTTGGTTTTGATATTGCTATAAAAGAGTTTAAATTTGTTTCATAAAATAAACATAAAAAAAGTTGATTATTGCATTATTATTGTACAAAAAATCATCGTAATTTCTTAATGTTTATTATCATGTGTTTTGAGAATCATGTACTTTCATTTTAAATTAAATTATTGAATATTCCTACAGGTGTTTTTTTAATTTATTTATTTTCTATAATAAATTGCTATAATAAATAAAACTTTAAAAAATTGTAATTTCTAAATATATTAATTTAAAGAGTACTTTCAGTATCTAAGGTCTTTAATGCTGGCATATTAATAATATTTAAGTTAGCATCAGATAGAAAATTATCAAAACAAAAACATTAGAACTCTTTCTTTCTGATTAAATATGTGAATATTGCACAGCAGTTTTTAAATTTTGTGTGTGTTTCTTTGCAGCAAAAGAAGCTCCTTTACCTCATGAATAACAATCTTGTTGACTCAAATATGTTTCTACGAAGTCTTATTTTGTCTTATGAATCCTTTGTTTCTTCTGATGATGTAGATTTAAAAAGTAAGTGAACCATTTTACAATGCACAAAATTTTGGATTTTGCCACTTTTGCAAATAATGCTTAACCCTTTGCGGCGCACTATACGTTAACGTCGGAATTTCAACAAAAAAAGTTGTATGCAGTCTATCTAGTCCTAAAAGAATATACAGGTAAAATTTTGTAAAAGATGCACTTACCGTTTTAATTCTGTAGTGTTCCATGAGGTGGAACACTGCGCCGCCAGAGCTTTTAAAAGTGCGACTAAGCGAGCATTGCAGTGAAGCATGAAAATGACTAGAAGGGTTTGTATAAGAATGAAAAAACTCTGTATTATGGCTGTATACATGGTTTCCTGGATATACACAATATTCTTGAATATATACGGATAAATGAAATAAATATCTATACACACAAGTCCTATATAAAAAAAATCTTTACAAATTTCCGGAAAGAGTTAGACCTCTCCGTGACATTTATGGAAAATTAATAATAAAAAAATTAACTACGATTAATATTAAGAATAAAGAAAAATAAGCCTATGATATATACATACACAAAAAATATAATAGACAATTATTGAAAATAAACGGGAATGAGACTAAAAAGCGACAGCAAAAAATTCGCGCAGGTCTAAGTAAAGATGAGTCAAGCTACTAATGAAATTCCGCCTAAAAAAAAACTACCCCCAAAAATTTCGAGATGCCAATATTAGGCTTTCATAACACAAAACCAGACCACCCTCAATGCTGCTTTGTTTGAATTCATTCCCCCCCCAAAAAGCAATGGAAACAGAAAACGAAAACAACGGATGTTCTCTCCTAGAGCACAGATGTTCTGATTAGTAACAGCATGAGAGATGCTAAAGGCGCAGTGTTCCCGCTAATGGAACACCAGCGTTTTATTCAATGATTCTGCGTATGATTTTTGTATGAAAGATTAAAAAAAAATATATAGAACAGAGAATTTAGAGTACAGCCAGCAAAATTATGCCTATTTTTTTTTTCAAATAAAATTTTTTATATCATTAAAAAAATAGAGAAAAATTACTTGAAAAAAGTGGATTTTAATAACACATAATAATTGAAAATTCTGTGTCTCCTTGTGATATGCTGCTATCTACTGTTTAAAAAGAAAAGTTCAAAGTATATTATAAAGGCATTTTTATCTATTTACGGTTGAATTTAAAGGTTTCAGAAGTGATTCAATTTGGGTGTTCCATGTAGTGGAACACTGAGCCGCAAAGGGTTAAGAAGTGCTGTAAATTCTATGTGCAGTTTACAGAATTTTAGTACTTATCTTCAGATGAGAGGTATGTTTAACATCATTGTTCACTGGTTACATTAATTTTTATTTTTAACAGCACTTCTATCAATAAAATTTTAAATTAGGGCCAATTTATGGATTTTTTATTTATTACTGTGTGGTGTTAAGTTTTTCTATATATTCACCCATCTGCATTTTTTTTTTTTTTTCAAATTTGTAATTTATTCCAAAATTATATGTTATATTATATAAAATAATATAATTTTAGAATTATATAATTATATTAATTATTATAATATAATAAAGTAATTATATTAATTAATATAAGTATATAATTACAGGTAAGCCTCCTACAGCATGGCATCCTATAACACGGTTTTGCTCTAACACAATAAGAAAATTGAACAATCAAACCCAAGATATTTAAAGAACTCCGCACGAAGTTTTCCCATATTGAGCAAAGCACCAACATAGTCCGCTTTAAAGACAGTGGCTGAAATATAGGCCAGATTTTCAGGGTGTAAAAAAAAAAGGAAGAAACAAAAGACTGTGACCCAGGTATCAGTCAGAGAAATTCTGCCCCCCTTACCCTTCAGTATGCGGGGATAGTCATTGTGCGACAACCTTCCCTGCCGCTCGTCCGATGACCTTCATGCCTTCGCCCTAGTCTGTTATCTGAAAATTAACAAAGGGGACACTCTAAAGGAAAGGTTTCAAAAGCGTAGTACGAGGTGTATTCAAAAACTAAGTACTGTTTTGAAAAAAAAAATAGTAAAACAATTTTTTCGAATCCAATTTTATTTTTACATGAAAATACATGTCTTAAACTATTTTTCAACATAGTTTCCGCCAATGATCAAACACTTGTCATAGCGGGTGACCAGTTTTTGTATACCATCATCAAAGAAACTTCCCGCCAGTTTCGATAACCATGACTCCACAGCATTTTTCGTGTCATCGTCAGATCCAAAGCGCTTGCCACCAAGCTCGCGCTTCATGTGCAGGAACAAGTGATAGCCGGACGGCGCCAAGTCCAGGCTGTATGGCGGAATTAAAGATTGAGTGACACCAGCAGTATGAGGCCGAGCATTGTCATGGAGCAACACAATTTCTTTACTGAGCATTCCTCTTTGTTTGTTTTGAATGGCACGCCTTAGTTTTGTTAAAGTCTCACAATATCGTGCTGCATTAATGGTTTCACCTCTGGGAAGAAATTCAGTAAGCAAAACGCCTTTCCTATCCCAGAGGACAGTACACATGATTTTTTGGTGATGACATTGTCACTTTGAACTTTGGTTTTTTCGGAGAATGAGTGTGTCTCCACTCCATCGATTGTTGTTTCGATTCTGTTGTGAAATGACACACCCAAGTTTCATCACCTGTCACAATTTGGTTTAAAAAGTTTTCTCCCTCATCACTGTACCGCGTGAGGAATGTCAGGGCACTACCAAGTCGCTTTTTTTTTTAACATCAGTGAGCATTTTTGGAACCCATCGGGAACACAGTTTGTGATAATTCAAGCGGTCAGACACAATTTTGAACAAAACAGTACGTGAAATTTGTGGAAATGCCTCTGAAAGAGTTGTCATTGTGAAGCGTCTGTTCTCATGAATTGCTTCATCAACTTTCCTTACCAAATCATCGGTGACAACAGAAGGCTGACCACTCCGAGCCTCGGCGTGGACATTTGTTCAACCTGCATTAAACATTCTTACCCACTTTCTCACCATTCCATCACTTATTGCGTATTTACCGTAAACTTCTGTCACTTGACGATAAATTTCGGCCGGTTTAACATTCCTCACGTTCAAAAATTTAATCACGGCACAAATCTCACAGTCAGCGGGAGAACTAATTGTCTTAAACATTTTGAATGTGCACAGCAAACTGAAAACACAACATAGAGCAACCAAAATGGCGACAATTGAAAGTCAGTAAACAAGAAAGACTAGTGCGTATGCGCGGGATGCCTACCACAGCGTTGCGACGGTGCTAGAATGAAACGGTACTTAGTTTCTTATTGAAATTGCAATTGAAGGGGGTGGAAGTAAAATTCCTGTTTCCCATCTTTTTAAGTAAACCTTTCCAAACTTTTCAGTCTTTTTAAGGTTAACGCATAAGAGTCCTTGTTTTGTTAAGTCCTGCCAGTTGTCTTCTAAGATCTGGTTCCCATAAGAAAAAGGAGGAGACCGGTCGCTAAATTTTTAACCAGTAACAAGGGAAAATCGTTTCCTTCCATTACCGTCAAAGTATAGCACAATAGAAACAATACCCAGTTACAAAAGACCACAGTCACCAGATAACAATGAAGGAACCTTGCTATCGCAGAAGATGAACCACAAGAGGTCACAATAAGAGCTTCAAAACACACAACCTTCGGCTTCCAAAATTCGAATACTCATCTACGTGGCCTGAAAACAAAAGTCTTTCACACCTCTGTTGTCAGTCTGCATTGAGCCACAGTGTGTTAAAGAATAACTTATTTTAATTAAGACATTTAAGTTTCAATCCAATAAAGATTTTTTTAAAAAAAAGCGTTTAAGAGGAAAATTATTTCTTTAGAAGTAAAGATACAAATCTTGTATCGTCTTTTAAAGGGAGAAAAGCATCTCACATTGGAAAAAGTCTTAATTTGAATGAAGCAACAGTCCGGACTATTATGAAAAATGAAAAAGAAATAAGAAGTGCAGTTGCTGCAGGATCTTTGACATTCGCAAAACGTGCAACTCACCCCCTGGTTACCAGAAATTGAGACGATGGGAAAGGCACTCACCATTTGGATTTATGATAGTTGTCAAAAAAAAATTCCATTGGATGATAATATCATTAAACAAAAAAGTACTCAAAATTTACAACCACCTTAAAGGGAAAAAAAAAAAAAAAAGTGGAGAATCCTCTGTGAACTCAGATTTTGTGGCAAGTAAAGGTTGGTTCGAAAATTTCAAAAAGCGTTTTGCCATTTATAGCATAACAATTCAAGGAGAATCTGCATCGGCTGATTATGAAGCTGCTAGGACGTTTGCTGAAAAAAATTCAATGCATTATAGAAGAGCAGGGATACACAACAGATCAAGTTTTCTATGTCGATGAAACTAGACTGTGGTGGGAAAAAATGCCCAGTAGAACCTGTATATCGAAAAAAGAAAAAAAACTGCACCCCGACCTAAAGTGTCTAAAGATCGTGTAACACTACTTTTGTGCAAGCATCGGACTTTATGACAAAACCCTTGTTAGTTTACAAATCTTTAAATCCCCGTGTACTTAAAGGCATAAATAAAAACATTTATTATATTGTAAAGCAAATCCAAGAGCATGGGTAACTGGAAATTTTTTTAAAGACTGGTTTTTAAATTGTTATGTGCCAGATATTGAACATTATTTAAGGCAGGAAAATTTGAGCCTCAAGGCGCTATTACTATTATAATGTTCCATGTTGCCCACAAGATTTGAATCATCCCAACGTCAAAATACTGTTCCTACCACCTAACACTACTTCGTTTCTCCAGCCATTGGATCAAGGTATTATTTATATGTTTAAAACTTATTACATAAGAGCATTACGGTGGATTTTAGATGTAGCCGATTCAAAATCAGTTAATGTAATTGAAGCTTGGAAGAAATTTTCAATCAAGCACTGTATCGATATCATATCGTTGCTGCTGAAAGAACTGAAAACATCAACATTACTTGCATGTTGGAAGAAGATATGGCCTTCTTCATTTGAAATAGAAAACCTGCATGAATCATCAGAAAATGAA